CACGTGCCGTAACATTGCTTGTGACATGCAAGGAACTAAAGATACATACAAACAAACCATACTAGTATAATGACTGTGTTGAATATACCGTAGTTGCGAAACAACACTCAAAGGCTTAGACTAAAGAATATCAACATTGGCTTCACTGTTTGTAAGTGCAAACTTCATATACGTTAGTAATTGGAACTACAAAAGCACAAACAGGCTACTGTGCTCATAATAACCGATAAAATCTGTATCATACAGGGTCTGTAATAGTCCGATTCCTTTTTGGCACGAATCTAATTATGCAGATTGGATTAGAATAAGCCGAATTATCTAGGTTCATTGTTCAGATAATGTGATTTAATTATGTATACTGAATGTTTTGGAGATAGCTGCGTGTAGCAGCCTCCGTCTTCGCCTACGTCCCGCCTACGACCGATCGAATGCTCTGTTCGAACGCTGTCAAGGCAGGGATCCACTTGATATATTTCGTACTCAATTACGCATTTTGTTTTCGTTGCTGTACGTAATTACTTTACAAATAAACGTTATTGGAAAAAGCTTTTGGAAAATTAATGATAGGTATTCAATGTTCAATCGCAAGATGAATTGATATTTTCTAAAATTGCTAGAGATATTCAAAATGTTTTCCCCATTTCCTGATCATATGCAGCGGTAATAAATTAATGCGAATTATTTCAAACCGTTGATTGTACGCGCATAATTTTGCCATAACTTTGTAAACGGCGCTGCAACTAGCTCAGGCATCCCTTTGCAAGTTTATAGCATGTGCGGATCGTTACATATCAATGAAGACTACATATTAGTACGAAAAAAAACTTCTTCGGTTTCTCAAAATTGTTTTTATGCGGGAACAGAATATGCGACTGGGTAAACTGGTGGAATGTACGGTTCCTTCGTTATTTACCGAAATATTATAGTGAATTTTATACGGACAATGGTTTTAATGGTGTTTGTTCTGTACCTGAGTTTTTGTCCCTACGCTGAGTGCCGAGTGCCGAATAACAGGAAGCAGATGAATGTACAGACGTCGGGCAGGTAAATGGCGCCAACCGACAACTGCCAGTACTTTCTACAGAAAAAGGGTATTTGAGAACTGCGCAATTGTTTAGGGTCAGGACATTTAGTTGTTTTTATGGATAAAGCTGTATTTCATTTCACTTTTTATAAATATACAATTGTTGCTATACGATGTTCTCGTTCTACTTAGAATTTTCTTTCAAGGCAGTTATTTATTCGTAAAATTCCACCAAAGAACGTCTATTTCAATGATAATGGCAGTCAAATGGCATTCAACGTGTGCGTGATATCCACTTCCCGGTTCTCAAATTAGTTTATAAAGCAAGCGAAGCGTGGTGATAACGCCAGTATCGAATTTATGTAAAGGAAATTACCTCCGAGTGGAGGCTTCATTGCTTGCCGGCTTGAAGAACAGCCCCTGGTATTAACCGCTCACACCTGCGGTCGCTATGAATTTGTTTAAAGGGGCAATTTTATTTCCCCCTTACATGGCTTCATTATTGAACACAGTATATTCCAATTTTTAGGGGAGACACCGAGTTCACATTCACAAAACATACATTAAACTTAGTTTAATATACTATTTCAATATGTTTTTCACATAAACTATTACTGAAGTCGGACGAAAATAACACCAGATGCGAAATCTAGTCGAAGGAAATCGAATTTCCTTTGGAAATGGCAATCTTTAAGATGTAGCACGTGCCAGACTCTAGCACAATGGACCTTATAGGACTAAGCGTTTCAAATAAGTCTTTCTTTCGAGCTTCTACGGAACCACGCAGAATTTTAATTCGACATTCACGTCTCTAGCTCCTCTATTACATTTGAAAAAATAATGGAAAATTTGTCCTATGTTCATTGTCCATAATCATAATATATTTCTTTTAATGTAACTATCACTTAGTTTGTGGTTTTTTGATGTAGTTGCGTCTAACTTATCGGGCTGTGGTCAGCTGGTATTAGTTACTGGTGGCCACTGCATTACCTTACTGATAGCAGACACCAATATGGCAGCTCGACTTCTAATATTACAGCTGATTCTATTAAATAATGATTTCATACCTGTAAATTAATATTTATTATTTTCGTTGTAAGCAATTCTACCTAATCATAGTACTTACATAATACTTCGGAAGTCGGAATACCTGATTATCAGGTAGTTTAATGTACATTGTTTATAGTGTTAACGCAATTTACATAACACGGTTCCGAGTGTTCCGACAGAATAAACCTTGACCGTATTCGACCTTGGTTTATTCAGGAACATTGTTCTTTTTTGCTTCATATTCCACAATCACATTCAACGGTAGATTGTTTTTTATCATCTGTCACCAATCTTATTCTTAACGATATTAGAAATAAAATACGCAATCACAGTCATATGCAAGACAAATGTCGTGGTCCGGCCACGAAGCACGACCTAAACCCGTGCGTGATACGGCTCTTATCTCTTTGCTCAAGATGTAATTATCGATTGTTTTGGTTAATATTTAACCATGGTCAGATTAGATTAGTCTTGGTGTTAAAGCACAGACGCACTAGACGCAACTCGCGGTATAATATAACGGGATGGTAACCGGATAGCGTGTAATCTCCACCATCTTTATTCTCTCGTCACGCTCGCTGATCCAATTCTGTGGTTTACGCGAAAAAATATTCAAAGTTGCTCAATTGAAACCTAGACGCAGCTGTCGCCGTGCAATAAGGTTCGATTGGATTTAGACACGATAAAACTGAAGTAATGATGTTTCAACCAATACCAGTTCGGATAGCAACTCAACCGATTTTAATATACCGAGGAGCAGATTCATGCAACTGCATACTTTGGTATCGTTTTCGGAAAGTAAGTCGGTGAATGTTTGTCGTCATGCTCTGTTGTTAGATTAGGCTTTCAATGGATATTGACTAGTTCACTAGTAGCTTTTAAACAATTCTTTAGAATCAAACAATTACTATACTTAAGCATTATTATAACATTTTCTATTCAGCCTTGAATTAAAGGCCATCGGATCGATTGTCATACTTACCTAAAGTTAATTTCACAAGTGCATAATGCAGGGCCTCGTGTACTCGTAATATATGCGGCGTCTTGCCTGTGCCGCGCCGGGCTCGTGACGCAAATGCCTCGTCGCTTGCCTCAAGTTACCCAACAGCGGCAATGCGGCGTCGATCACGCTAATCTGCATTCTTATGCTACACTATGATATACCAGCTACAATATTGCAAACATTACCATTTAACGCAACAAATACCGATGTTGACGGATCAGTACCCATTGTCTTCATGCCGCGGACAGATCGAACATGATGTGCGTGATCACGCGTGTGAACCCACCCGATCAATTTGTAATTTAGATTATTACACTTCAACGCTTATCTTCAGCGATTTGTTCGTAACCAAGTACGTAATCTTAATGGTTGCCACGGTATAAATACGCATTTCCATCAAAATCGTTATGCCAGTTAAATCCTAAAGTTATTATAAGTTAATTGAACTCCATCTTACGTAACATCGAGAGAAATTCAATTTCGAATTTCTCGTAATTGGGAATTAACAGGTTGCTTCGAGAACGATCCGTATCCGTGCAAACAAGCATTAATTGCGGATCACTTTAACGTTTTCAGTTCTGAAATTAACCTTATAAACACGTTACGTGTGAAAATACTTTAAAATGTGGTAAATACAATGCTTGGAGGTGGTACAAAAATAAAATGATGCTGACGTCCCAGTTGGCTCATGAAATAAGGCGCATGATTGCCAAACGATAAATAGGACGACGGCGTTGACGAAATTGTTAAATATTTTCAAGATAAAAACATCAAATTGGAGACTGATATCCAAAAATAAATCCACATTTAGGCATAAATATCCAAATCTAAAATGTATCAAGAGTAGAAAAACATCATCTAGTGGAAAAAAATTTAGTCAAATTTTAGACGAGTCAGGGTAACCCGTGATGCGAATCGTTTATTTTTATTGTTATAAAAGATTATGTTTTATGATATATTAATAGTTTTAACGTTTATTACTTCCTTTGGCCTCTGATGCACTTTGAGGTTTTAAAGAGCATTTACCAGGAGGTTCGCGAATTCTCCTCGGTATTACCAATCAGAGCGATGCATTCACTCTTTGGAACGGCTGACGTAACACAGCCTTCGCACTTCTCTGATACCGATGCCTGTTCTGAGGATACTCGTTAATCACCGTTCAGTTCAATAAAAAACCTTTTGTCACGTCCAATTTCTTCATCCGACGTTTTTCACGAAGAAATCAACGACTAGTAATTTGGTTTCGATATCTGTGTCTGTGAATCGTTGTTGCTAAGTAATTAACTTTTAAAGTTGGATCTGTATTCAGTATTTTGGTTATAAAAATACTTATCGTTCATACCAACTGCCTACATGTGTTACGGGAATTCCACTATCGTAAGCAAATCTTTATCAGCTCCGTTGTTGTTTTATTTTGCACTATCTTCGTAGATAGGTCGGTGTTCCTAAGTGCTGTTTTGCATGTAGTTTCAATGGAAATATTTCTTACTGACCGCATCGTAAAGTATACGGTGTCATTAACATGTTCAGTAGTGTAAAATTGAGTCTATCACAGACTTGTACTACTAATTATTACTTTCCTAGAAATACCTGTAAACGGTTACTTTTTTATGGCATATGTCGGCAAACGAGCAGACGGATAACCTGATGGTAGGCAATCAACGCTGCCCGCAACACCAAAAGAGTTCGAGTGCGTTGCCGGCCTTTTAGGGATGAAGGTTTCGGATATTTATTTCTACTAAATGTGTCTGCAATCGTTTCTTCAATTATTGTTTCTTTTTTATTATAATTGTCGCGTGTCGCGTAATGCTGCTCATGAATATGGGCCTCTAGCATGGCTTGAAACTAATCGAGTATCTCGTCACATTATTACGTGGGTAAGCTGAAAACATAATGATTAATTTAATGTTTCTTTGTCAACAGATCGGTAGATCATCGGAATCACCGATAGACTTCGTGGTGATGGACACAGTGGCTGGTGATAAAAGTGGCGATACAAAAGTGCTGCAGAGTACAATATCTCGGTTCGCTTGCCGCATCATAGCTGACCGTAACGACGTCAACAACTGCCGCATATACGCAGCCGGTTTTGACTCCTCCAGAAATATATTTTTAGGGGTAAGTGACCTACAATTTTACCTTCAAATGTGTTGGACGCAAATTGGCTTGTACAGAAAGTCAAAATATCCTGATTATCACATTTTATTTTAAACAAGTTCTCCTACTGGGCTGTTTTGCGATGAAATTAAAATATTTTTGTTACGTTTCGCCAGGAGTTTGTTAAATTAAAAGTTTTTAGACGATAAATAACGAAAGTTTTGTTCTTCAATGATTATTGATTCTACAGAACCAATTGTATTTCTTGCAATTGTTATGTAGCTCTTTTTATTTCATTTCAACGTGGGTGGACACGAGATACATATGTCTTGTAGACATTTCGATATGATAAGGGTAGACATGGAAAGGATGTTTTGTAACTTGAGTAAGACACAAACAAGTCTGATACCTAACTCAACCTTCATGTTCCATGTCTTTAAACTTATGAACCTTATAGTCATCTATAACTAGCTTCTGTCGCGCGGTTTCACTCGCTGCTCGGCTTCAACAAATCGTAGCGTCATGTTTTATAGCCTACAGTCTACCTTGATAAATATAGGTACTAGCAAACACAAAAATAATTATTCTATTCGAACCAGTAGTTCTGGAGCGCGTTCAAACAAATTCGTTAGCTTTATAAAATTAGTATAGATACAGTTCTAACGTCTCTTAGCTTCTGACGTCATCAGAGCGGTCGTGACGTACTAGCTTCACGTAATTGAACGACTAATGCCCATAATTTAGTCGCCATTTACTCGAGATGAGCCCCCACTTAGATTCAGCGATCTTTTAATGTTAGCCATTCATAAATGTTTGAAGCAATTCTGCACTTTATTCACTCACATTCCCTGTCAGTTGTGAATGGAATTTAAAGACGAGAATCATTCCGATTTTTGGCATTTTAACAAAACTACGTGCGTAGTGGCGGTATTTTTCTCATATAGGTACTTACGGTTCAATTTCGTATGAGGTAAACAATGGAGTTTGTTATTAATTTACTGTTAGGTAGATTTGTTTGTACTATTTATAGAAAACTAGGAAAACGGCAGCTGCGTAATACCCACGCCTTAATATTGATCTGTGATCATTAATATTGTACGGTGTAGGTGCGTAGATCTCATATCTTAAAGCCGATAGGCTCTTTAATCAATAACTGCCCATCTCACGGCATTTTTTCATTGATGAGCGTTATCAGTTTGCTCTTTTAAGAGGCTAATTTTGTAAGGTTTTAATTGTTATTAAGGTTCTCAGTTAATTGATCATCGATATTAAATTAGCTCAATAAAGCTATAGTTGTTGTTGTTCGAATGACGATATTTCTTAATAATTTTAAATTAAGAAATATCGTCGTCGCCGTAAAAGTAGTAAAGTCGTTCATAATTTTTTAATCGTAAAATGAAAAACGTTTGAATAAAGGGGCGTTGCGACTAAAGGGATTTAATTCATATTTTTGTGACATGGCACCAACTTTAGGAAATTACGAATTTGGACTACTTATTAGTCATTCCACATATCTTTTTGATAGTGATTGTACTATCCGTAAACGAAATATCAATGAATCATCTAAAATTCCAGGAAAAAGCGACAAAATGGACAGAGAATCAAGAAATAGATGGACTTACGACAAATGGTGTTTTGATCATGCATCCACGTGGTGACTTCTGTGGCGGTAGCGCCACCTGTGGGCCGTGGCGCGAGACTTCCGTCGGAGGCGCCGTGTTCTCGCTCAGGGAGAGCCGCTCTGCACAACAAAAGGTAACAGAATCCACCATAGAGGTACTTAAATAGCCCCAGTAAATATCCGATGTTTAAAAATGAACATCTGATCAGTGCAATCAGTGCAAAATTTAATTCGAAACACGTGGTTTAGTCCTGACACTTGTATTTTAATTCATTACTTTAAACAAGTGTTCAAAACATTGAGCCATGAGGTGGACACCTGTCACGGTAGGGGGTCAATTTATTTTTACAAGTACTACAAGACGTACATTATTACGCTTAATCTTGATTCCTTTTAACAATGACGTCACCGTGTAGTTTTTTCTTAAACACGTTTCTGAATAAACTAATGTTATTAATAAGCCAATTAGATGTGGATCTGGCTAATATACTTAATAAACGAACAGAATTTCTGACCTGACTACAAAAAGTCAATGTTGACGTTGACCAACAGCTGCCCGCAACATAGATCACAAAAAACAGAACAGATGTTCAATCGCGTGCCTATAGGGATACACAAAGGAATGCACCTCAAACTCAATTAATTTAGAAACCTCTCAATTTCCAACTAGGCTTCAATAAAAAATTCAAAGAATACGCTTGGAATTTAAAACACACGTGAGAAACACACTTGAGATATTTCTGTTTTATTCTATGGACGTGTCCATATAATGCAAAAGTGTTTTTCTTTTTAAAGGGCCTGCCATGTCAAGCTGAGACAAATGTCCTCAGAGACGGAACGATGATAGACTTATGTGGCGCTACATTATTATGGAGGAGTGCTGAAGGACTTAAAAATTCACCGGTAAGTTTATACCTATAACTTAATACTCATAATTTATGTGCTTGTAAATTGTAGGTTCGAATTCTATTAGAGTCTATTCTGGGCTTTATATTATGAAACAATGTTTTTTTTTTGTAAAAGGGCCATAAAACAGCTCTTTTACACGTCAAAGTCGTTTACATAATAAATCTTCTTCGGAAAAAAAATCGTTATTTCATATGATGTAATTTTGCCAAATTACATATCATCTGATAGTACTTCTTATCAACGATTAAAAACTTAATTGATAACACCCAAGTTACAAGATTCGCGAGATTATCGGAGGCCCAATCCTTCCCCATTCCCAAAATATTCAAATCCCTAATTCCCAAAAGGTCGGCAAGGCACTCTTAACTCCTCCGTTTTTGCGGGTATCGATGGGCGACGCTGATTGCTTACCATCAGGTAATCCGTTAGCTGGTTTGCCGACCCATCACATACAAAAAAAAAATAAACAATAATTAAGTTGAGATTTAATGACGTGGACAACGTCTTTACCTAAATATCAACTCACTACTATGTGATAATTATCTCAAAGAATGGATATATTTTGACCAAATAACATATGAATGATAGTTTCATATCACTCTATAGGTCATTATAATGACAAATACCTAATAATCTTTTTCAAATTCCCAACTGATTGTCATCTGTTAATGAATCACGATGATTCAATGTGACAATTTGTGTCAATTCATTGACTGATTGTGTTGATAATCTAAAAATTTATTGCTTAATCAGTTTAATATACTTGAAAGCGTTAATTTCTTGATAAATCCATCCAAACCCTTCATCTGCATATCACACATCTTTAATAGCCCGCCAATGCGGTTCTAACAACTCCATTGTTGTGGGTGTCCTTAGGTGTCACTGAATACTTATTATCAGTTTATACGTCTTATAGTTTGCCACGCTATGACATGAAAAAACCTAAGGGCTATAAAATATGTAAATTATATTAGCACACAGAAAAAGTCACTTCTTCGTACTCTTTCAAGTAGCTTTGCACTTATCCAAAGCTATTTGAGGTCGGCACAATATGTCTTCTCTTTCCTTTCTTCTCTGCTAGAGAAACTCATCCTATCACAAACAACAAACACCCTTGTCTCTTACTCTGAACTCACTTATATTGACATCCTATCACAAATAAAGTTTTTTGTATGTAATAGTTCGGCAAACGAGCAGACGGATTACCTGATGGTAAGCAATCAGCGTCGCCCATGAACACCCGCAACGGAGGAGTTATGAGTGCGTTGCCGACCTTTTAAGGATTAGGGATTTGGAGACTCATGGATTGAGGAGGGATTGGGGGAGGGGAAGGATTGGACCTCCTGTAACCTTACTCACACGACGAAACACTCTCCCACACTTAAAAGTTTATTTATTTGGTTGCTTAAGTTATTTGGTTCTCTTTGATTTCCATGATTTTCATCCCCACTAGTCTTGTTCTGTTCTCTCCGCACCTATTAGCCCTATTAGATAATGGGACCGCCATTAGCACAACTCTCATCATCATCTCATCAATTGATATTTACGAAATAAATCTTAATGCATGTGCGTATCCTGAGTACCTAATGCAAGCATGTAATAATAAACCTTGAAAAATACAGGTATTCAACAGGTTCTCGTTTTTCATATACTTAAACATAATAATGACGTAACAATTAATAATTTTGTACATAATTATGATTTACACTTGCATAATAAATGCCCGTTAGTGACATTTAGAAGCAGTATAAAATTTTAAAACATATATTATTGTGCAAAAGCTGTTTACGATTACGATACATATTGGATCTTAATGTACACGACTGTAGATGAAGAACTAACACCTAAGGTATAAGCTCGGCCTAGTTAAGGTGTTAGTGGTAATTTGAATTGTGTTTAATTGTAGTATTGTAAATAAATAATAAAATAAATAATCAAATTGTAAATAATTTGTAAGTCAGTGAAACATATTTTTTTAAATCATCAACATATAATCATTTATATCTGTCAAAAGTTTGCATCTTTGTCATTTCGTATATTATATCAATATTATATCAAGGAAAATTGATCAATTTTTTCCACAGGAATCTTATATATCTTGTAACGAATAAATAACTTCCCTAAACGACCGTAGGATCAACATTAAATATAAATTTTGTAACCTTCTCAGACAAAACGCGATCTCGAAGCATTAGTGGACGAGCTGAACGCTGGCCGGCCGCAGTGTCCCGTGGGCCTGAACACGCTTGTGATACCGCGCAAGCTGTCCTCTGCACATCAGGACCTGAACCAGCCTTACGTATACCTCAACTGTGGACATGTACAAGGTAAGCAGGGGTCTTCATTTATTAGTCGTGTGCGTAAAATATTATACTTGTCACCATTAATCGGCGCTAAGCGCTAAGACGTTGAATACGACAATGAGGACGCCGCGGTTGCAGGGTACGAGGTCGATAAAACGGACCGCGCGCCGCCCGCCCAGTCACTCAACTGCTCTCTTTTCTCTACCCTTCTCTTCTCACGATGTCGTAGAAGGTGACTAAGAAAGAATAGATGCTAATTGATAAACCTCCTCTTTAATTATGAGTTACGTGAATTAACTAGAAATCACTACAAGTTTAAATTTAAACGGGTCTGTTATTATCGAGTAGTGTAAGGACGACGGCGACGGTTTTCATTCTTTTCAACTTCTCCTAAACCCTCGTAAAGGTCAAAACTCTCTTTTGTAGAGGAAGCTCATAAATGGGCACAAGCGCTATGATGTACCGCGACCCGGTTCTGAGCAGGAGAAGTAACGATGTGGTTTTAGTTTGGTAGAGGTTGCCACTCCTTCCATGATGTATATGATGTATATAAGTATATAATTTACTAGTTTCCTTTAGTCTATCTGTCTTGGCCTTATTACAAAACAACGTTTTTCTTAATTCTAGGTTTAAGCCATTGAGTCAGGTTTTGTATTTTGAATCTTATTCTTACCTACCTTCAATTGGAAATACAAAAACTGGCATAACGTTTTACACTTAGATAAAGAAAAACCTTGTTTTGTAATAAGGCCGAAACAGACTAAAGGAGGTTTCATCTTTTCAACCAAACACGAAGTTGGGAAAATGTGAAAAAAAAAGTGTCAAAAACCCCATTCAGATATTGTTTTGTTTCCATTCTTGCTTATCTATAAGCTTTTATTAATGATATCGACATGAATCGATATCAAAAATAAACACAATAGAGATTGTTCAGACAATAGATAATTACTGTAGGCGTTTGTACATTAGCTTTATAGGTAGTTGCCCTATTAAGTCTTCTACGTCGTTATTATAAGAATGAGACAAAGTACAATACATTTTGAAATCAGAAACAAGGAAGAAATTGCGGTAAACAATAATAAAAACTTTATATATGGATTTCAAAAGAGTATCCTGTTAATTTTTTATTCTTTAGAAAGTGTAATGTAATGTAAGCCTCACTTCAAACCATAAAACAAATCGAAATCCCTTAAAGGCTTATTTATCAATGCCAGCTTTGATTATCTTTGCCCAATACCATGGCAAAGTAATCAAAAGGAAATGTAATTAAGCAATGGGAGGGCCTGGCTAATTCAAAATATAAGTGTAAAGTGACATGCAGTCAAACCGAGATCTCAGACTACTTTATTGTTATGTTTGTGCTGGTTAAAACCCAATATAGACATTAAAATAGTTGCAAAATCTCCAGGAAAAATATTCTATAATAAATAATTTGACAAACTTAATTCAAATATTTATATCACACGCAATTTCCTAGAAGCAGCGTATTTACATAATTGTTATTTACTTTAGAATTAAATTTCAACGTAGGTACTAAGCGGTGACAAATAAAATATTAGGAAATTTTAATAAAACACGATACAAAAGATAAGGTAAAAACATTTTGTTTTTGTCACTCGCATATTACGTATGTATAAAGGAAAATATTATGTTTTATTTTATTTGTCAATAAGTTGACATTGATAACCTAGTTATTTTTTATTTTAAAGAACATAAGTGAAAAAGTTATGTGTGCAGATAAATCAAATGAGATTCCTTCTATTTTCACACGACTGCCCAAAAAAGGAGTATTATGTTTTCAATTTTTAGAGTTTATGTATGGGATTTTCTTTATTCCACTGTAACTTCCAAACGCTTGGGCAGATTAAGACATATAGCGTAACATTGGAATCCTTAAATCATTTCGGGTAACAGAGGCTTGGTTGTGTCTTTGGCTATGGTGCTAAAATAACAAATAAGATAATAGAACGCATTAAAATATGATTTTCCTTTTCTCTTGACAACTTATTTTCTTTTAATTTTTTGTTCCTTTTTTAAATCATTATTTTTTATTTATATTGGATTTCAAACTAAGATATTTGTTACTACTTATGATAAGTGTGTGCGTTTCCAAATATACATACATATCACACACGGTCCTGGAACAACAATCTGCAGATTTAGAAAAAAATTGCTCTAAATTCCCCTTCTTAAATGCTCGGCAACGCACTTACGGGCGCTGATACTAAAAAGGCAGTTTAAGTTAGGCGTTCTATCCTGCCTACCCGACATGGGAGCAGAACGTTTCATATGTCGTGTGTATGTAGCTCATATCGCTATGATTATTGTCGATTTGTGACTAAGGACCTGTCCGTAATTAGTGGAACAGGTAGGTGTTTAAGAACATTGGGAAAACCAATTTGTATTACTCAACCACGTATCATGAAGCTAAAATAGCAATATTTCAACTACATACCTAAGACTAATAGATTTCCAAGTTAACTTTTGGATATGATCGAAGTATTGTCAAGGTTGGACTTAAACATCCAAATCATCTTTAACTAAAATACGTTATTAGTGACGTTAGTCTACTCTTCTGCTGTGATGTTTGGTCGTTATTTTGCTAAATAAGGAAAGTAGAAAATGTACTAGGAAAAATGGGAATAAACCTGTGCGAATTAATCAGTGTGTGTCTATCGGGTTTAATATACCTAAACTCTTTGGTAAAACAGTGTCGTTTAATTTATTTCATTCAAAGAACGTTTATTTCATTTAATTTAAGCACACTACTTTTAAGTGGTAGTTTTATCCTTATAGATTTTTAAATTAAAAATAGTATTTTTATTTGTGTAATAAAATACTTGGAACACCAATAGATACCGCCAATACGAGAACGAACAAAGAATAACGCAGAGTCATCAAAACATTACTTAGTATATAAAAACATTATCTAATATAAACAGATTAGGACAGTATTCTAATTTGATAAGCAACATTTGAAGTATGGAGTGTTATCACTTATTTAGCACAAAGCACTTGAAACTCTATGTACAACGTAATGACTTTCATTTTCAATTGTAATGTAATGTAGATGTACTATAATTACATTTAATTGTTAAGTATAACAATAGTTACAGAATTGTGTGCATTATTGCGCTTAACATGTATGAATGTATGCTCTACTTCTGCATAGTTTTAAAATGTTGAAACATGTTAAATAAAAAATTTAGCCCCGTAACTTTATACTTCAGGAAAATAATAGATTGGCTTTCATATGTACCGAAAAAGAAATGAAAATAAGTTTTCTAAGTGTGCCAATAAACGTGGTCTAATAAAAATCTGAAAGGGTAGGTATTTAAACAATATTCAAGTCTTAGTATTATCTAAGAAATATATAGGCATAAGAAGGATATGAAAGGAAAAAGTATACCTCTTCACGCTGCAATGATAAAAAAGAGTCTAAATTTTATTTTATTTTATCCTAATCTATGATATTTTTATCCAACAGGCGAGCATTCGTGGGGTGCGGAAGGCAGTGAGTCAGGGTCTCGACGTTGCCCCATGTGTCTGACAGCTGGCTCTGTAGTACGCGTCTGCATGGGAATCGAACCTGCTTTCTACGTGGACGCGGGCCCGCCCACCTACGCATTCAATCCCTGCGGACACATGGCCTCCGAAAGGACCGTCAAGTCAGTATTTTTAAATACAATCCATTTAATAAATTATACATTTAGACCTATACTAACATTAGTATTAATAATGTTTTCCTTCGACGTAAGGTGGCTCTCGGACCCGTTGGGAGGCACTGGATCCGTCCAGCAAGTCCCGTGCACGGGCCCTAAGGAATTATGTTTCGTGTTTATTTTATCTTAGATATATAATTTCTAAAATAAAATAAATAATTTTCTAATGTAGTACAAGGCGAAGCAGCACGCTCACTCGTGAGAAGCGGACGATTTTCTCCGCGGTACCACCACGACAGTCGTAGCTTTAGTTACTGTTTCATACCTTTTTAAACCCTTTTCCATATTTACATTACATTTACATATTTTCATTTATAAATATATCTTGTTCCTTCAGATACTGGGCTAGTGTGGATATACCGCACGGTACAAACGGGTTCCACGCGATCTGTCCGTTCTGCGCGGCGCCGCTGCAGGGCTCGCCCGGATACGTGCGCCTCATCTTCCAGGACAACCTCGACTGAATCTCGATACATCCGCACAGGTAAATAATTAAAAAAAAACTTAATGGTTATTACGTTAACTTGTACGATCTTTACAGTTTACGCATGTATCACAATGTCTTAATCGACCACTATGTATCAAATAAATTTCATTGTAGAACGCTATTCGTATGAACTATCCGCCATATAAGTCTATCGGGGTCTACCTGATCCACAACCTTCATAGATACTTCTATGAAGGTGGTGGATCAGGCCCCTATGTTAAGACCATACTTTTACTATGACGAGAAAACCCCTCTCTAAAAGTTATCATATTATGAGGAGATTTAATGATATGGTTGGGTAGAATGACTCTTCCGGTTTGTAATGTGAAAAATGCAAGAATATATCTTTTCATAGTACGTAAATTATACAATCTTGGGAAATTATTTTCTTACCAAGATTACATAGAATTTATATCATTAATAATTTCTATGTCTAGAAATAAATTAGTATACTAACAGCTGCTGACACGTACACATACATGAACAAAACAAATTGTAAATTAACTCAATTAAATATGTATAAAGGTTGAATGCAAACAAACGGAATTAGAATGCACATTAATTAAAACATTTTCCTACCACATTGTAAATGGCTTTACAGACGATATAAAAATATGTATTATGTGACATATCTCACTTATTCAATCAAAATAAATAATATGAAAACAACTAACAACATTGTGACTAACTTAACAATCTAATTTACTTTCCTCGTTACAGGTCGCCAGCGGCAATTTGACGTGTGCGTACAAAATGCATGAAGAGATGTGTAACATGAACATGGCGGCCAGCCCGAGCTCATGGCGACCCTCGCGACGTGAGGGACCTGCATGACTACGCACTGCCTCACCCTGCAGTGCCAGCGAACATACTCCCAACACTGTGGCTCCACCTACAACCCTACGCAATGTCATCGACTAGACCCTTAGACAATACATCTATGTATAACATTTCCTGACCATAAAAAACCTATTTATTTATTATAACTAAACTCCCACACCCCAATAAAATGTCTCTAGCATCGAATATTATCTATGAATTGAATTACAATGTATTTTAATGTACGCAAATATGTTACTTTCACGTAATTCTATGTTTCGGTGTCAATCTATGTTAACTCAATGTTCAATTGATTTGCGATAACCTATTAATATTTATTTGTTGGACACAACATGTAAGATACGTTAAGGCGATGAGAAAATTCAGGAAATAACAAAAATATTTAAAGCTTTGTATATTGCGTGCTGATTTTATTGCTAGAATTAATAATTGTTGTAATTATGAATGAACTGAATTATTTAATGAATAGAGGTTTCCTTCGAAACTTATCTAGATTATAATAATTTTTGATTGCACAGGCTTCTCAACATTTTATGGATCCACCTATGCTTTTTAATCGGTACTACATTATTTGACAAGTTCAGTCGCCATGTTTTGTGACAAGATTGCTATTAATTATCGGATCACGTCGATAATGTAGTACCAGCCCTATTATCTTAAGGTAATCCAATGTAAATATTCTATGTACGTTTATTTCTATACTTGTAGTTTAAGTAACTTATGTTGGTTTTTCCGTAGCGTGTGAGACAGTTGATAGTTAAGTACGAGCCAGAATTTAGCAGTAGCACATAGACACTACTAATGTTAGCTTCAAACAATAAGTTGGTATATGTTTAATAAGATACATTATACTTTACAATATGGTCTCATTTCTTGACATTCAACATATTGGGATATATTTAAAGATACATATACGAATAACTATAGATCATAAGCAGTTATTTTTCATTTCTATAATCATCAAGTGTTGTAAGCAAACATTGGATTGTTATATTTAGAGAGGATTTGTATTTGAGTGGATAATTCTTTGTTTGTATGGCTGTTATGTCTCAATATTTAGAGGTCAATGTCTGCGATGTTGATTGATGTTACATGCTGTGAATATTGGTGTAGTCATAGGCAGATATGTGTCGACGAAAGTGCAAAGATTGCTAAACGATTAGTTTTTGTATTTGGCGATCCGATTATTTATTGGTTAAATAATTCGCAGTTGACTACACAACTTTGCGAATACTGAGGCCTTAGGCAAGTGATGCACCATATAGCTTTGTGAGAAAATATACAATCCCTAAATATTGGAATGTGACTCGATAGCAGTTTCATTTAATATGTACCTATCGCTGACTATAAGATGAGAACATCCTTCTGTTGAATAACGTTTGAGTATTTCGAGTAGATACAACGACACAATGCAGGCAATTTGGTGCGTCATTTGTTTTACCTCTAAACATCAGTTCCTAGAAATTGTGTATTGGACGTTGTTACAATCCAAAATGCAATCTATTGTTATTAACATCTAAAGGTCTCAATGCAAAACATGCAATCGCTTGCTCGAATGCGATCTCAAGATATGAAAACACAGGAATACGCTTTATAAGAAGCAAATCATTATTATAAGTCCATCATACATGAGAGTGTAAAAATAATGTAAGTTTTATAGAGGTAGTGAACATTAGCTTACGGAGTATGAAAATTTAGTTTTTGTACAATTCACTAGTTAGGGGTTACACATAACATGATTGCCTTCAAGTGATAAATAACAAGACAGGATGAAATACATACTATGCTGTTCAGACTAACATGTGTACTACATACAAAATGCAAGTGGATTGCACGTCATTGATTAGTATATTATTATAAGATTTTGGTAAACAAGAATGCTTATTTAAAGAGTCGATATAATGTAGTCGTTTAAATCAGCGTAGTAATGTTATCAGCCATGTAATAAAGGATGATTTTGAATTAATTTTATTAGTGTGGTTGCATAATTAAGGATGCTACGGAATATTGGACCATACATAAACTTTGTAGCGATGGTAATGTCTGTGTTATTATAACGTTGCGTTTCTTGATTAAGAATTTGAATTAATTAGCATTATTTTCGTTAGGGTGAAGATGTTATGTGGAGAATGTAGTCAGTCACGCTTTTATGTCGACTAATCGTCGCGGCATATTAAAGTCGTGGGACGCAAATATTGATATATCGAGTGATTACTAATTGTTTGAAGAGCAAGTGTAGGTTTAGCAAGTAATCGACTGGCCATACACTTTCTATCAATAATCTGAGTACAGATGGAATTTGAAAATCTAAATATATAGTCAATTACTCAAAAACCTACACTTCATGCTTAATTTGACGGTACAATGAACTCGACACGACTTTAGTTTGGCGCGGACGATCAATTTACTTGAAAAACATTAGTGGTCATAAGAACTGAATGCTAGCCTTAATTTTATTTATAATGTGTACCTAAGCACTAGGGCTAACAATAAATCGCTCTTTTAGTTAGAAAATTTATATTTTGTTTTATTTAACTACAAGTAGATTTTGGCCGAAAACCCATATGCATAGAACTTGTAGACTAGATTCAATGGAAAATTCTGACAAACTTTAACAATTAATTAACCCTTTTAGGCTTTTAACAAGTTATCAAACGAATGAAAATATGTACATTGATAAAGTAATTGTTGTTTATTAATTGACTCCCAGCAATTAATCACTTAATTGCTACTTTAATGTTTGTGGAGCAAACACGCTCATACATACATGTTAAAAGTGGCAAGCTTGTTTAAAAAAATAATTTAAAATGCTTAGTAAGGAATGTAATAGTTATAACTTGAAAACAACATTAACTTTTACATACATACGTTACATTGTAGTTTACAATATAATAAAGAAAAAAACTTCAATAACGAAAATAAAAAAATAAATATATTGCTGTTGGAACACAAAGCATAAGTATATAGTTCAAGAATAAAAATAAGTACAGTCTGCAGAATTCTTTATGACCTATCTCAACTTAAAGAAATATTAGATAATAACAATAAAATCTAAAACTATTGCAAATTAAGTTTGGTAGTTATAAGAACTCTGACGCACTGATCGTAAGCCGTAGCTACGGCTAAACCTAGGTGGTCGCGGTTCCACTCCCACGCATTTATAGGTTGAGAGCTGACCACCATTCGCTGAAGACGTTTCAACTTTCCTGGAACACCACTGGATACTCCTTGGTGGTCTACATGGTATCTGTGTTCAGGATATTCACTGCAAAGTAGAATGGAATTTTTTAATGTAATTTGCAGATTAATAAAGAGTGCGCCAAACAGGCTACTCTTCTTGGACAAGTGGTAGGTAGATTGTAGGTAATAATAATAATAATAATAAATCCGCAAGGCAGCTTGTGGCGAGCTGTTGGGCAGTGGCGACCCCACGGACCTGACTCCCGGGAGGTGTCTTGTTCTTCTCTCTCCGGTTAGTCCTCGTGACGAGCTGGAGTGAACACTGATGAAGAACAAGCCCTCCTACCTCATTCTTGCCTTAATTGGCTGGCTTGAGTGGAGATTCGCAAGAGTAGGAGTTGAAGGAGACTCGGGGGAAGGATGTATCTCAGTAAGGTGCTGGTAGGGGTCTTGACCGTACTTCCGGGATTGCTCTGATAGCCGTGGGATGCCTCTCCTTCCCCAAGCAGCTCAACGTATGTTGCCTCCGTGTCGCTACATGCTAGCGGCCGTTTCCGGGGGCCCATTAATTGAGTTTGCCAGTCACCCCCTGCCTGTTTATCCGTATGTATCAATATTGGTCAGGGGCAGGGGCCATAGTATTTCCATAGTTATCATATCCACCAGTCCATAGCAACCCATATCCATAACCCTTTCGTTTATTACCACAATTCGCAATAGTCTTGCATCAACCGGGGATTATCCTTGGGTGCACTTTCATAGTGCAAACAGGGATAATTGCCGGCTGATGTCCCATCACATTTAGATTAAAACTGTTCAAAGGGCCTCTGCGAGTTGGCTTCGGCCCCTCGTACGCCTTCCAAAGGTCCGGGATCCTATGATCCCGTGAACGGAAACGAACATACAATAATAATAATAATAAGTCCGCAAGGCAGCTTGTGGCGAGCTGTTGGGCAGTGGCGACCCCACGGACCTGACTCCCGGGAGGTGTCTTGTTCTTCTCTCTCCGGTTAGTCCTCGTGACGAGCTGGAGTGAACACTGATGAGGAACAAGCACTCCCACCTCATTCTTGCCTTAATTGGCTGGCTTGAGTGGAGATTCGCAAGAGTAGGAGTTGAAGGAGACTCGGGGGAAGGATGTATCTCAGTAAGATGCTGGTAGGGGTCTTGACCGTACTTCCGGGATTGCTCTGATAGCCGTGGGATACCTCTCCTTCCCCAAGCAGCTCAACGTATGTTGCCCCCTTGTCGCTACATGCTAGCGGCCGTTTCCGGGGGCCCATTAATTGAGTTTGCCAGTCACCCCCTGCCTGTTTATCCGTATGTATCAATATTGGTCAGGGGCAGGGGCCATAGTATTTCCATAGTTATCATATTCACCAGTCCATAGCAACCCATACCCATAACCCTATAAATTTTTACCACATTTCGCAATAGTCCTGCATCAACCGGGGATTGTCCTTGGGTGCACTTTCATAGTGCATACAGGGATAATTGCCGGCTGATGTCCCATCTCACTTATATTAAAGTTGTTCAAAGGGCCTCTGCGAGTTGGCTTCGGCCCCTCGTACGCCTTCCAAAAGTCCGGGACCCTGTGGTCCCGTGAGTGGAAAAGAACACACATAATAATAATAATAATAAGCCCCCTAAACAACCACACGTCCTGATCGACCATCTGATCACGTGGGGGGCGGACACACGATTAACGAAATTACTGGCGTGGCTAACGTGGCTCTGGAAACCCATTAAAAATGGAGACTCGCTCGAGAAGAAAACGTATAGGGCCGCTGCCCGGGGGCGATCGCCGGGGCACACCTGGAGCTGACGCTGGGTGTTTCAGCATGCGAACCGTCAGCGGTGAGGAGTTGAACAGGCGGGCCCTCACCGACAAAGATACTACAGCCGAACTTAATGACGACGGTGACACACAATCATATAGATCAAATACACCACTGGAGCCGTACAGCCCCAGTACCATATCATATACACCATCCAGAACATCCTCTCCATCCACACCGTCGTCACCAGTTTTACACACCGTTGCACCTACTCCAACCATGGATGTTGCGCGGGGGGTTAATGCCTTTTTACCCGTGTCCACCAAGGCTGGAAAACCTAGAGTTCGCATGAGATGGAGCAAAGAAGTTAATATATTCATCATGCGAACTTACTTCTACATAACAAAACTAGAGACTGACATGACCATTTATAGAAAACTCTTGCATGAACTCTTCTGTCGACAATACCCAGAGGTTAACGTATCCGAACAGCGAATTTCAGACCAAAGAAGAACAATAATTAGAAATAAACTATTGTCCCAAGATATAATTGACCAATTAAAAGAAGAAACACGGCAGCAATTAGAAGCAGAATCGGAAAACAGTAATAACATAGCCTTAACTCCACAAAACATAGCAATAAATTACCAAACACAATCGTTAGCTCCTACTCAACCTCTTGGTATACAATCTCAACCATATAACAATACACAAACAACACACTCATCCACACAAACAGAAAACATCATATTAACTTTAGAAAATGATATTGACACCTTGATCACTGTAGAACAAGCACAAATCACAGAAGAACACATAAAACAAATTTACGATAAATTTAAAATGACACTCACATTATATTCAGGCATGGATCCCGCATCACGACCAAGGTTACCAAAGCTTAGGTATAATCGTAACCTTTTCCGCTTAGTAAACTTGTTTAATGAAAGTATTATAGCCCATTTTGTATCGAATGACAGCCAACTGACAGACTTACACACTATTATATACTGCACAGCCGTAGTTATCTCTGAGGAACTTAATTTTAAAATAACAGGAGACACAGAAACCAATAGACCAAGAACCAGCATTAAGCCACCATGGCAACAAAGATTAGAAAAAGACATTGAGAAACTAAGAGCTGATTGCGGTAGACTTACACAATATATTAACAACAATAGATCAAATAAAGTAGTCAAAAGAGTAGAAACTATTTTCAAAAATATGCAGATACACACCAGACACGAAACTAATAATACTAAACCTGAAGAATTTCTAGACACATTAAAACAAAAACTAGCACTAAAAGTACATAGACTTAAAAGATATAAAAAAGCACAACAGCGTAGAAATGATAACGCAATATTTACCACAAATGAAAAGGTATTCTATAGAAAACTAAATACAACATACACCAACACAACAAATGAACCAATCACAGTACCATCCAGAGGAGAATTAGAAACATTTTGGGCCGGATTATGGGAAGAACCTGTTAGTCACAATGGCAACGCATCTTGGATAACAGAAGAACAAACAAAGTGGAGAGGTATAGACGAAATGGAGTTCAAAGAAATAACGGAAGCTGACATTGCAAACGTAACAGCTAGACTACATAATTGGAAGTCACCTGGAATAGACAAAATACATAACTTTTGGTTTAAAAAATTAACTATCCTACATAAATATATAGCAAAAAACTTAACTGAAATAGTACTAGGAAGTCAAAGAATACCGGATTTTATAGCAACAGGAATAACGTACATGTTACCTAAAACTAAACACTCACGACAGCCCTCACAGTACAGACCTATCACCTGTTTACCCACAATCTACAAAATACTAACATCAGTTATTACAACAAAAATCAATTCCCACATCGAACGACACAAAATAATGGCAGAGGAACAGAAGGGATGTAGGCGAGGCCACATGGGGTGCAAAGAGCAACTAATCATTGATTCTACTATTCACAAACAAGCCATATCAAAAAATAGAAATCTGCATTGCACATATATTGACTATAAAAAAGCCTTTGACAGTGTCCCACATTCTTGGTTGATTCAAATATTGGAGATTTATAGAATAAATAAAAGAATTATAGATTTTCTTCGTAATATAATGCCTCATTGGAAAACTACGCTACATATCCACACTACTGACAATAATGTTAGTACGCGACAGATTAGCATCAAGAAAGGTATCTATCAAGGAGACTCCCTAAGCCCCTTGTGGTTCTGCCTCGCCCTGAACCCTCTTTCCCATTTGCTGCAAAATTGCCAGGCCGGGTATTGCCTCAAACATAGTTCTAAAGAAACAATAATTTCACATTTAGTATATATGGACGACATTAAACTTTACGCCAAATCTGAAAAAGATATGAAAAATCTAATAGATATTACAGCAGCTTTCAGTAAAGACATCAATATGCAATTCGGCTTAGACAAATGCAAGACTCTACACATTGTAAGGGGCAAAATACGACCTGGTGACTATGCAGTAAATGGTAGCCATTTTATTACTGCATTGGAACAAACCGACTTATATAAATATTTAGGCTATTCGCAATTAAAAGGCTTGGATCACATTCAAATAAAAAATACACTCACCGCTGAATTCAAACGACGACTAAACGCTATTTGTAAGTCCCAGCTCTCAGGCAAACATCTGATTAAAGCCATCAACACCTACGCTATTCCCGTATTAACCTACTCATTCGGTATAATAAAATGGACAAAAACGGATACTGAACAACTAGAACGCACAATACGCACTATCCTGACCAAACATAACAACTTACACCCCAAATCGGCAGTAGAGAGGCTCACAATTAAAAGGCAAAACGGAGGAAGAGGCCTAATAGACATCCGTCATCTATGGCAAAAACAAATTTGCAATTTAAAATCTTTTTTCTACATAAAATCTCAAACGAGCCACATCCATGAAGCCATAGTTGCTAACGATCACAATTACACGCCACTTAACCTAAACGAACCGATAGGTATAGAAAACGGTAGCGAAACTGAGCCACAAAAAGAGAAACTAGAAGCCTGGAAAAGAAAAGTCCTCCATGGCCGACACCCACATGACTTAGAGCAAGGTCACGTGAACACCAATGCTTCAAATAAGTGGCTAAAGATAGGAAACTTGTTCCCAGAAACTGAGGGATTCATCATAGCAATTCAAGACCAAATCATAAATACCAAAAATTACAGGAAATATATTATTAAAGACCCCACAGTAACCGATGATAAATGCCGCAAATGCCACAACCAGCCGGAAACTATACAACATATAACAGGAGCTTGTGCAACACTCACACAAACAGATTACACACACAGGCACAACCAGATAGTAAACATTATTCACCAAAAGCTTGCACTCAAACACACACTTATACAAAACACAAACATCCCTTATTACAAATACACACCAGAAACTGTACTAGAAAACACTACGCATAAACTCTATTACGATCGCGCCATACTTACCGACAGGACAATACATTATAATAGACCGGACATAACACTACAAGACAAAATAAATAAAATAACCTACCTAATAGATATTGCAGTACCAAATACCCATAATTTACAGAAAACAATTACCGAAAAGATAACTAAATATGCAGAACTCAAAGACGAAATAAGTAGAATATGGAAACAAAATAAAGTTTATGTAATCCCAATAGTTCTTTCCACCACAGGTGTAATACCTAACCATCTTCTCCATAGTATCAAACTATTAGATTTGAGAGAAACATTGTACATAAGTCTCCAGAAAGCAGCCATCCTTAATACCTGCAGAATCGTCAGGAAGTTCATGCAAATAGAAGACAACACACCGACCACATGATTACACCTACAAACGTTTGACGTCACTCACCACACCCTGTATTTACTTGGCTCCGGCCCGTAAATATGGATGAAACTAGCTTTAATAAAGCTAAGAAAAGGGTTTTCTCACCAAAAATAATAATAAAATTTTATTTATCCACAGTTACATAAGTTTGCCTTAAAGTTTAGTTATAATTAGGTACAATTGTTTGTTGTAACTTAGTGTTGTTAGCGGACATTGCTTTTAAGAGCGGCGGTCCCATTGAGATAGAAAATATATAGAGGCGCCCTGTTATTATAGATGTATACCTGCTTATACAAATATGGGTTAAATATGAAACAAACTATGAAATATAGTTTTTTCTCACTCTTTCTTAGGCAATAATTGTATTAGACAAAAGGGACAACAATATTTAAGTTGTTGCTTATTATGGCAACAAATCATTTTGACATTAGCAAAGTTGTAGGTAAGTGCCATGTCCGCCATCTTAAGCGCTCAGAGTACCTGAGTTTCATGGTAGTTGTGCTGTCAAACGGTTGTTTATGTTTTCAATTATTGCGGTTTTCCAGTAAATTACAAAGAACCATTGTTTTAAACTGCAAAGATATATAGTGAAACAAAAATACAATATGCCTGTGTGTTGTATTGTGCAGTGTGGTGCAAAAAAGAACGAAAATCAACCTAAATTGTCTTTGCATAGGTTAGTAAACAGTTTTCATCAAATATTACTTAAAATAATCCACATAGATAGAAAAAATGTTACGGATACTTTAATCTATTGCCAAAGTATATATATTTACTTCTATTTTTGTCTGTGAGACAGTTTAAGTAAAAAATTGTTGTTTACAATAATATGTCAATATGGCATAGTTACGTACCATTCCACAAAAGTATCGATATAATCTCCCATTTAAAATTCAACATAATATATTATCCTAAATAATCTATTTTGTGTAAGGCTAAAGTAAGACGTCAGTATTTTGGTATTGGTTTTAGTTACATATGTAGAAGTTCAAATTGTCATGTTTTATAATTATCCGGGCCCGATTGACAGAGCAGCGTTGGCGGCGATCCCAGTGCGACCACTAAGCTTAATAATAAAAAGTGAGATACATACAGTAAGATTGACTTCACTACTTATCTATTTTATGCTAATGTAGTTTCGAAGATATCATCGCTTAATCAGACGAGCCGAAATTGTGCGCGAGCACATCACAAATTCCGACAGGTGTTGCACATACGCATTTAAGGGGCCCCATATTTCGGCGGATAAACATTTAACAAAAACTATCTTTTTCTATTTTACCATTCCATTAAACGCTGTTCATAAACACAGTCCTATTTTTTAACTGACTTCAAAAAAAGGAGGAGTTTCTCAATTCGATTGTATGTTTTTTTATTTTTTTTTTAAAGACGCTTTCCGTACAATTGTATGGATACAAATTCGACTTGAGAAAATCATTAGCCAATCAAGAGACCTAGGTAACCCCGGGTTCCGGGCTCTAGCTAGGCCGACGGCAAAGTAGGAACAGGAGTTGATTTTAGTCAGTAACGGTCTGTCACGAAAAGTGCCGGAGATGACATTAGATGATTTCCCATAAAAATATACCGTTAATCAGCTGGCTAATCCCTAAAGCTATACCTACGTAGAACTTATACTCAAATTGTATCGATACTCGTTAAATACGTAGTCGGCACAACCCTAGCAACGGCAGCCATCTTACGCGAAATTTTGGATTGTAGGTATGCACCTTTGTTTCGTAGGTATTTCAAGTCCTTATATTTCCTATGTCAATGGGCGGTCCCCAAACTAGGCGAGGCCTGTATCTTGAGGTCCCGAGTTGCGGTTATCTAAAAACTTTAGTTAAAGGTCGGTCAGGTTGTGGACAGAAGTAGAAACTTAAAAAAAATATTAAAAATAATCAAAAAAATCAATAATCAAACTTAAACAAAAAATTTAAAAGGAACAACTTAATATGAAATAAATTAAAGCATCTTCTTAAAATTAAATTCGTCTCGTTGTATAGTGAAAGGAAATTATAAAGGTACAAAAAGTAGTTAAAATTAAATAATAATATGCTTAGTTTAAAGTTTACTTGAACTTAGCTTATCAGTCTCAGTAAAGTGCAGGGTGCAGGTACTCTGTCTAAGTAAAGTGCAGGAAAAATCTTAATGTTTTAATACTATGATGCAATGCTTTGGTGGAGGAAAGAGAGCGTCTGACTAAAAACCAACCAGTTCCTTCTCTGGGAACTACTTTACGCTTGTACCCTCAACCTATACTAGATTTCTCTGGCGCTTTAAGGTATATTACTGAAAGATTAAGAATTCACTTACTATTTCCACAAGGACACTTGACCATTGCCAGCACAGGTGACAAATATATCTCGATTCTGAGGCACGTGCCGCGCCACCCATATCGTACCACTTTTTGCATCATTATTTAACACCTAAAATAAAGTGACATTGTAATTTTTAAATATGGTTAGACAATATTTAAATATTTTTTCGTATATAACAGACAGTTTGGATAGTAAAGAATTACCTGAGCAAAACCTTTGGTAGGATTTTGTGTTCTTACATCAAAAACATGGAATTTTCCCTCCAAAGTAGTTGCCACCAGTTTATTCATTGGAATATCTTTGCGATCAAATTCAGTAGAGCATACCTGTAAACAATTTTCAAGATTCGCATTTCAAGAAGAAATAATAAAATCCTTCTCAAAGCATTATGTTATATAAATAAAATATAAGTACCCCATTTTTCAAATTACATTCCCAGCGAAGTGACATGGTTCTTAAATCAAACATCTTAAGGTCTCCATTGTCATAACCAGCAACCACAATCCTCTCAGCATCATTGAAGGAGTTGCCAAAGGAGACTGCCCAGCAGTCTCTCTTTGTTTCTCCTTTAACTGGTTGCATGTTTGCTACAGGTTTCCCTCTTTGGCGGGGGTCCCATACTTTTACTGTACCTGAAATTATAAACAGATGGATAACCTGAAGGTGAAAAATCGGCGCCTCGAAAGGGCACTGGCTGGTCTAAAGGAGTAACAAACATTAAGCCGGCCTTTTTGGATTTGGTGTATTTTCTGATTCGGGATTGGCTTAGGTAATTTCAGTCAATTAGTAAGTGTTGTTTCAAACAGGTAATCTGTAAGCTTGTGTCAGTATAAAAATCAGTAAAAAAATATTACTAAGTTGTGGTTCTTCCACAAATAAAAAGTTTAATCCAGATATGTGTAGTTTAAACATGTGTTGGGTGTATGGTGTTGATGAGTCAATAGTTACCATCACGACTGCCAGTGACGATTTCAGGGGCACCACAGTTATTGACATTACCACCCATTCCGTCTATAGAATTTATGATATCTGTATGTTCTTTTGTAATATACATTTGGCAACATTTCTCTAAATCCCTGTAATACAAACAAAGGCTTTAAAGATGCATAGGCAGCAATAACAGGCATAAATACAATTATTATAAATAGCCGTAGCAGTACCATATTTCTAAAGTGCCTTTGAAATCACCAGTTGCTAATCTTCTTTCGATATCACTGCTTGCCCCAAACGTTCCACATTTAAAAGAGTTTGGCCTCTCTATCTCCTTTATCTTCCGGATTTCACCCGATGTAATTTCATAGACTTCTAATGTACCAGTTCCTTTCGGTAAAGAACCGATAACAACAAACTTTGCTGAACAAGGAATCCATTTACAATCAAATATGGAATGGTTAATATTATGTTCAATATGTGTTATTACTTGGGGAGTATCTAAACCATCGTATTCCTCCATGCTTTCAGAATAAAATGGATTATTTAATTCTTGGTAATCTTGTAAGAATATTGTGAACTTTATAACCTCAAATTATTGAATAAACAAATCTTGTTGCTATGGCAACAGGTGACAGTTTGGCAATTTTGTTTTGTTAGATGCCTCTTAATCTTCCATTTTGTCTGCTATTTAATTGTTTTTATAATTTATATGCTTCCTTTAATTTTCAGATAGTGTATAATTAAATTCTAAAATAATAAAACGCAATTAATGTGAATAGTTTTTGTTTATGGGTTCTCAGTAAGTAATTTGTCTGTACTGATTCCGTTATCTGTGGTACAAGTCGTTGTCAGTGTGAAGTTGTCACTGATGTCAGTTGTCTATGATCAAAATGGACGAAATTGCTTGAGGTTTTGTTGTTACCAGCAAAAGATCGCAATAAATAGCAGAAACTTTAATTAAATCGGATTAAAAAATAATACTGACAAGATGGGTGACAAGAAGTATAAACAAAGCGTAAGTTTTATCTACCAAAGCTTGTAAAAATGCATAAAGTCGTTCGTAGCAGTGTAGCTCAGAAAGTTATTTTTTTGCAGAAAGCAGAAATAGCGAAGCAATTTAACCTACCGGAGCGGCAATCTAAGATTACGACGTTGTTAAACCAAGCCGGACAACAGTATTGCATATGTCGATCATCAGATAGTTCCAGATTTATGATGTGAGTTGTAAAACCGATTTTGGTTGCTTATATTTTGATATTCCTTAAATATAGTAGTTTTATCAACAGTCGTCACAAGTAATTCCAATTGGACTTTTGCAAATAGTTTTTTTTCAAAAAAAATGACCAACCAGGACAAAAACAAACTAAATAGGTACTCATAATGTGTATAAACATGACCAATTTTTAAGTTCCTCTCTTTAAAAATGGATTTTTAGTCTCAACCTTATTGTTTATTACTAAATATCACAACTTCATCATTATTTGACTGATTTTAGAGCTTGTGATGCATGTGAAGAGTGGTACCATGGAGATTGTATCAATATATCAGAGAGAGAAGCTAAGTACATCAAGAATTATTTCTGTGATCGCTGTAGAGAAGAAGATCCAACACTCAAGACTAGATTTAGACCACAGAAGAGGGAGAATGATGGAGAAGTTGGTAAGTTAGTAGGAGTATTTGTCCAATATTTGTCATACAATTTTTTAAATTAAAAATAAGAAACACTTAATAAGTTAGTCTAGTCCATTTGTTTAACACAATATGTATCAGCTATGATACATTACAGTTAAACTCAGATTTTAAAACATAGTCTGTTAATAAGGTAAATTGTCAGAAAGAAACAACAAACAATTTTTTTATGGGTTATTTGTCATTTGGTAATCAATCTATGACGTGTGTTGCCATACCTAAAAGGTTTCGAGATTTAGGGGAAGGTAACCTCATTCATATGGCAAAACACAATGCTGCGGTTGTCTCACTCAGGTTTTTTTATCCACCACACAGTTCCAGCCTATATTAGTGTTTTAATTTCTTAATTTATTTACAATTATTTTTTAATTCAGCGCCTCGAGAAGATAGAAAGAAGAAGAGAAAAGAGAAAGACCATTCAGAGAACAAGTCCTCAAAGAGACAGAGCAATAAGGATGGTTGTGGAGACTGCCCAGGATGTCTGCAGATTAACGATTGTGGACAGTGAGTATCATTATACAGACCAGTCATATATAAGTCAAAGCATGAATAGTAATTACTTTATTGTCCGCTGGTTTAATTGGAATAATGACAAGGAATGAAAACTAAAAATCTAATTAGTTACTCTTAGTGAAAAATTATTAGACACTTATTTTTTTCAATTTTCTTCTTAGAAAACAATGAATTGATCTATTACATGGAAAACAACATCAACAGATTATTCCACATACACTCAAATAATAGTAATTATGAAAAATTTAAATACTTAGATGCATCCATCCTTATGTCCTTTTCTTATGTCTACCAGGATGTAAGTATTCAATATAGCTAACATGTTTAGTTGGACCAAGTTTACCAATAAGATTCTGTTGAATAAACATTACAGTTTCATTACTTGCTGGCAGTTAACATAGCTAGTGGTATTTTACAATGTCCATGTCACTGGAAAATAACAAGATCCGTAAGTTTATAATTTTACTAGGAAGTTTATAAACTTTCGTAAGATTCTAAACGGGAGATAAATTGTAATATATTAGGTCCACATTATCGTAAATTGATAAACTTACTGAACTCACTCGTAAAATAATAAGTAAGCAGTAACCAAACGCTACGCGCGATCTGATTGGTTGGCTGTCACGTGTCACTTCTCCTTCCTCGCGGCCGCCATTGCTGGCCACGGAACATTAACAAACCGGTTTGCTATTGAAACTGATAATAGAAAACTCAACTCACTACATCCGTGCCAGAGAGGAACCAGGCATTGTTGCTTCTAATTTATAGTTTGTCAAGTCTGATTATTCTAGTCTATGGACACAAGCATTGCCACTATGAACATTGACCAATCAGAGAGCAGTGTGTTATTTTACGTGTTTCAAAGATCGTATATTTAAAAGAGTTTCTGTGATTGGTCGAACCATATAAAATTTTACGAATATACATTCGTTAGTTTATAAATTTACCGTATAACGTCGGAAATTGATAAATTTACGAAAATGTGGACGTAAAATATTACAATTTATTTCCCGTTTAGAATCTTACGAAAGTTTATAAACTTCCTAGTAAATTGATAAACTAACGGATCTTGTTATTTTCTGGTAACATCCTATTTGAACACGAAAATTTAACCCCTTAGTTTCATGTTTACACATTGAACAAAAATAAATGCAGTGTACTACTGGCTAAATGTGTGGGAGAGCCATGCTTCGGCACGAATGGGTCGGCTCGACCAGAGTGATACCATGGCCTCACAGAAAACCGGCGTGAAATAACCAAAGAGTTGTGTTTCGCCGTGTGACCGGAGGCCCAATCCTTTCCCTACCCCAATCCGTACCCTTTCCCATAATTCCAAATCCCTAATCCCCAAAAGGTCGGCAACGCAATCGTAACTCCTCCGTCCTTGCGGGTGTTTATGGGCGACGCTGATTGCTTACCATAAGGTAATCCATTTGCTCATTTGCCAACCTATCACATAAAAAAAATGCTAACTACTAAACTCCCATTTCCTATCTAACCAAAAGAAGCCGCAATTGAATATATACAGTTCCAGGTTCCAATAATATTATAATATTCTGTCCTAAAACATGCATTGTTACTTCATGCATAATCATAACAAACCTATGCATTGAATTTTGATCCTTAAGTACTCTCTGATTAAAGATAAATATTTAATTATCACATATAATATTATTATTAAGAATTAAAATATTTTTGTTCTGGGACTTAAAAATTATTTGTTTCAGTTGCGAAGTCTGTGAGGATATGTACAAGTATGGAAGCAGTAATAAAGTGAAGTTGAAGTGCAAAATGCGTATGTGTATCAAGAGTAAAAAGGCTTCGAGGCAATCCAGGTATGTATTCTATGTTTATATTGTACTAGCTTTTGCCCGCGACTCCGTTCGCATGGAATAGTGACTTCCTGCAGATATTTGGTTTAAAAACTATCCTATGTCCTTTCTCGAGTTCCAATCTATGTCTGTAACAAATTTCACAGAAATCGGTTCATTAGTTTAGGCGTAAAGATAAGACAGACAGACAGAAGAAGAGAGTTACTTTCGCATTTATAATATTGGTTTTGATTTTCTTTAACTTAGTAACTACTAAATAGCTGGCTTGTATTTGATAAAATTCTTAGACAATTTTAGTATTTGCTTAATGGGACAAGTGCCGTCCGAAAATTTGTGCAATTTCTATAAGCCAGAATGCAGAGTGGTGAAGGTGAAACATTACACAAGTCCGACGCGTCCCAAGGACACGAATGACTTTCCTGGATTCCGCAACGAAATAAATCGGAAGATATTATTTGTTTTCAAATAATTTTAAAGTTGTTTATTTGTATTTCTCACGAGGATTAAGTGAGAAAAGATAAATACTAGTTTCGAGTCAGAACAAGACTCTCATTCATGAGCAGCGTGTACGTCGCGGCGCTATTCAAACTATTACTATCTGTTTTTTTTTAAAACATTGCCCCGCATTATGATTTTCGCTGTGTCGTGGGTGCGGTTACAAATATACAATTTCACATACACATCACACCCAGACCCGGAACAACAATTTGTGGATCACACAAAGAATTGTTCCGTGCGGGAATCGGACCCGCGACATGTTGCTCGGAATTCAGTTGCCCAGCTACCACACCAGCTGTGCAGTCAAAAATATAAATTATTAGCATCATCAAAAATATTTAACTGTTCGCTTATAATACAACCAAACTATATTCTTCTAGCAGTAGCAACAGAATAAAGAAGAAACACCACGAAAGAGAGCAACATGAGCCAGAGGAGTCGCTCGCTCACTTGCAAACGGCGGAGGCCCGGCAGTGCTACGGGCCGCAGTGCACGCGGCCTGCGCAGTTTGGTTCCAAGTACTGTTCCGGCCAGTGCGGTATGAGGCTCGCCACTGCTAGGATTTATCAGGTAAAATAATAAACTATACATTTTCTCCCATTTGTCCTAGTCAGAGTATTATATTTCATCATCATTTTTAGCTTATAAGTTCTGAGCCAAAGCTTCTTCACACACGATTAAGGTTTGACTAATATATACCATTCTCTCTCATGGTTTTTTTTTTTTGTGAGGGGAAAATCATCAAATGACTTCTCCCGCCCAGGGCCGGGCAGGAGGGAGTGTCAGACTCTTACTGACTAAAAACCCCCCTGTTCCTTCTCCTGCTCTGTGCCGAGGTCGCGGTACCTCATTGCGCTTACCCCGCAACCACGGCTGACCATCAGCCCTATAGGTCCCCGTCTGTGGTGGGCCATTGGCTCAATGAGGCGCGTGAGGAACCCTTACTCGCCATCTACAGACCCGCGCTTACGGTGGCCAGAGATCATCCCGCGAACGACCCTCCCTCCTGCGGTATGAGAAGCGGGCACTTTAACTTTAACCCAAGGCCACCATGGAGCACAAATATAAATATATATTTTTCTTTTATATCTAAATATATTTATCATCTATTTGTTATATACATATGTGTATTTATTGTATTTTTACTTACAGGTGCTTCCACAACGTATTCAAGAATGGTCCCTTTCAACCTGCGTCGCCGAGCAGAAGAACCGCAAGGCGTTAGAAGTAGTTCGAGGGGGCATTGCGCGTGCGCAGGCTGCCTTACGAGCGTTGGACACGCAACACTCAGACCTCGATGCGATCGTGGCCCGAGCGAAGAATGCTACCATTGTTCATACTGATGATAAGGTACATAGAATTGTGGATTTATAAGGCCTGTTCATGTTTTATTCTAGGAAAAATTAATTAGCTGTATATTTTGGATTATAACTATAAGAAAAATCATTGAAAATCCTCTCCTAAAAGCTTGAGATTTCTGACGCGACGCCTGCTATGGTTGCCATGGCCCTAGCCACCATGTACTGCGGTTGCTACAAGGCAGTAGTTGAGAGAGAAGAAGAAAATCATTTGCTGATTTTCAATCCAACAAAGTCTCTAAGACCTTGGACATTAATGTACCTGCTACTGAGTAAACTTTCCTTTTCACACGAAGAAGCTTTGAGCATTAATGACCACGTTTAGGTTGCTAACTGCGTGCCTATTGGTGATTTAAAATTTACTATGAAAAATTATAAAGCCAGTGTTTCCCACGATGATTTCCTTAACCATCTGTCACTGGTGTCTAAATACTCCTAATTTTAGACAGTACTAGTAATAGGTTATTCGGAAAAGTCACATTGGTACTTGCCAGGTTTCGGACCCTTTAGAGTAAGAAACGGGGCGCCTTAACCTCCGGGCAAACAGAAAAATTATTATTAATAATAATTTTATATAATATTCCCTTTGCCTCCAGGATGCAGACGACGAAACATCAATGTACTGCATAACGTGCGGTCACGAGATCCACTCTCGGACTGCGGTAAAACATATGGAGAAATGCTTCGTTAAGTACGAGGCCCAAGCCTCGTTTGGCAGCAGACATCGCACGCGTATCGACGGCCAGAGCATGTTCTGTGATTACTACAACCCTATTAACGCTACTTACTGTAAGAGGTTGAGGGTAAGTGTTTTTTTTTTACTCAGAGGAACGGGACCTCTTATGGTCCGTTCATTGAGTGTTAATAAGTCGTGTTATGTTTTTTTTTTGTCGCAAAATTTGGCAGGCGAATCGCCTGATCCATCATTTGTTTATGGTCTATTGGCGCCAATTGGGTAGTTTCCTAGGTCAAAAATAAATTAATTCGACGTTTCAATACAATAAAACATTGAAAAATAACTATACTTTTATTCATCGATCGATCGATACAATAAGTTTTAGATATTTTATAGCAAATTATTAAGAAATAAGTAAGCGATTTGACGCAAAACTACTATGACGTCATACCTCAGTTTTTAATACAACTTTCATAGAAAAGTATCGTTTTTGACATTTGGATAAAAGTATTGAATTTGACTACTTGAAAAATACCGTATTATGGACATTCGTAATATCGGAGAGGGTTGCCGTTTCTGATATTTTAGCGGTTAGGGTTATAGGGGTAGGGGATTAGAAGTCTGGGTGTTATGTGATTGAAAATTCTACCGTTTTTTTAATTGACAAAGAAATGCAAACTGAACTAGCCTGTCACCATTGATTAGCTTCCTTTTAATTACTCCTTGTATAGTCTTAGACAACCTTGTGATGTTTGATATTTTTTCTGTGTAATTTGTAAAGATGGTGTAGAAAAAAGTCTTATTGTTTATTTATTTACATTAAACCAAAATAATGTTAATATTTTTACGATTCGGTCACTATTTCATAACTTTTCCGAAACTAACATTTATTTGCAATTCCTACCAAGATTGTATGATATTAAATAACTTCATATTTCTTAATTTCTATTACATTTGCCAGGTAATGTGTCCAGAACACTTCAAAGATCCAAAAGTCGGTGATCACGACGTTTGCGGCTGTCCTTTGGTCCGCAATGTGTTTAAGCCGACGGGAGAGTTCTGCCGAGCCCCTAAGAAGTCATGCTTGAAACACTACCAGTGGGAGAAATTGCGGCGCGCTGAGATTGATATGGAGAGGGTACGGCAGTGGCTCAAGTTGGATGAGCTGGTGGAACAGGAGAGGAGTATCAGGCTGGCCATGGCTTCTAGGTATGATGAAGAAGTTTTGTTGAGTTTTAATAGTACGCTATAAAGTGATTTGTACTTGTTCCTGATAAAAATAATGATGAAATTTGGTGCTGACATACTAAGTCATGATCATGATCTGTTTTTTTTTTGAACAAGAACTATTGTGACACTTTTTTTATGTAATAGGTCGGCAAAGGATCATGCGGATTACCTGATGGTAAGCAATCAGCGCCACCCATAGACACCAGGAGTTACGAGTACGTTGCCGAGCTTTTGGGGATTAGAGATTTGGAGATTTAGGGATTGGGGAAGGATTGCGCCTCCGGTAACCTCACTCAAACGTCGAAACACAACACTGTGTGGTTTCACGTCGGTTCTCTGTGAGGCCGTGGTATCGCTCCGGTCGAGCCGACCACTTCGTGACGAAGCATGGCTCTCCCACACTTAACTTTAAGCAAACGGATTACCTGATAGTAAGCAATCAGCGCCACCCATTGACGCCCGCAACACAAAAGTGCGTTGCCGGCCGTTTAGGGATAAAGGTTTTGGATATTTATGGATTGGGAAGGGATGGAGGGAGGGGGAGCGATTGGGCCTCCGGTAACCTCACCTCAAAACACAAAGCTGTGGTTGTTTCACGCCAAATAACTTATTAACCTTTTATTTTTCTTCCCAGAGCCGGAGTCCTTGGTTTAATGCTACATTCAACATACAACCACGAGGTTATGGAACGCATCACGACCAAAGCGACGGAGAATGGAAAAGTGAAGGAAACCTCGTGACGATCGAATGACGCGGGGTCCGAGCTGCCGCGCGACTCACGCCCTTAGATAATCATAGAAAACTGTAATATAATTAGTTAATTATAATAAAAAAAGTATATTAAATGATGGTTTTGATATAATTTGTTTTTATTTATTTTAACTTAAGAACTTTTCTGTCTTTCACATGAAAACACCGAAATACTGAAGTCCGACCTATAGGTACGATATGACCGACAGGCATGATAAGTCCTACACGACCGATACGACACTACTAAGACGACCGATACGACCCATACGACATACACGACCGATACGACACGTCTAAGACGACCGATACGACCTACACGACTGATAAGACCCATAGGACCCATACGACATTTACGACCGACACGATTGTCACGACACGACAAGCATGATACATCCTACACGATTGACACGACCGATACGACACGACAGGTATGATACGATTTACGCGACTGACACGACCTATATGACAGACACCAACGATACGACAGACACGACGGCCAGGAGTTCAGGACGGGTGTTTACTCCCGCCGGATCTGAAACCGGTACCTATCGAAGCTTCCGTGTCCAACAAGCGAAAGGTGTGGACGCCATAGCGTCTCTCCAGCTACTCCTCAAAGAGAGGTTTTACCGCTGGGATCAGGGCTTACATTATTCGGCTTACACGTAAACGACATTTTGGATGAAATCTGTCAAAAAGTATTAAATTTAAATGGTTTTGATCATTCCTATTGGTTTGCAACTTCAATGATATTTATACTTCATTTATTACACTTTCTACTTTTACTAGATTACTAAATATTAATATTGAAACTAATACAAAACAAAACAATATATTTTCAATTATAACTCGCTCGCAAATATTAAAAGATCACCCCCATTTCGGATCACCCTCTATAATCGCCCCGCGTCATCCTCGCTTTGTGCGAGTGTGTCCAAACGACACATTATCTTCGGTTCCGATTTATTAAAAACATATTAGTGCATTTGCGTAGAAAAGGCGATTGTACGCTCGTGTGCGTATTGAAAGAGTACATACATGGACTATTTTGACTTTTTAATGCCAAACTTGAATATAAAAAGCTTTGGCAGTGTAAAAAAATAATCTGAGTAGAGAAAACGTGGTGGTGGTGCCTAGACCACGATAATATAGGTAGATTCACATTGCACTGCAGTGGGTAGCGGAACCAATCGACCTTAGGGAGTTGTGTTGGGTATTTAGCCTGCGATATACCATCAAATATTTTAAGTGAGGAAATAAAACACCACTAGGCATTTGCAATCGTATTTGTGTTCCCAGATATTTTACAAAGATTTTTTTTACCAGTGGGTGATTAGAGACAGGTAATGGTAAGTAGGTGCGACAGCAAAAAGATCAGAAGATAGAAATATATCCAAACTAATATTATAAATGCGAAAGTAACTCTGTCTGTCTTTTCTTCACGCCTAAACTACTGAACCGATTTCTGTAAAATTTGGTACGGACATAGTTTGGAACTCGAGAAAGGACATAGGATAGTTTTTATACCAAAATCTGCAGGAAGACACTATTTCAAGCGAACGAATCGCGGGCAAAAGCGAGCAGAAAATAAATTAAATAATCTGGTCATCACTACATACTTACATAGTATGAAACTAAGTCGAAAAACCTTTAAAACTACTGATTTTGCGTGTCTTTAAGAGGAAGGTTTATAATGTATAACAAAATCCATTAAATATTTGAGAAATTTAGTAGATATCAACATTGTATCTGTGCGAAGCTGGGGCGGGTCGCTAGTACCTACATATAATGATATTTATGACATTTATCGTAAGTATAGGTACCTAATAAAACATTTATGAATACCTACTCCAAATTTTAATAGAGGTATATTTAGGTAAGTAAATAATTATACTAAGTACTTACACAAACATAAAAAAATCTATGGCTTGCATTAAAATCACATCATCTACCGATCCTATTAATTTCAAAACACTTACTACCCAATCTTGATCGAAAAACCGCTAAGGTGACGATGCACTTGCATCACCGCCTAGTTACGCCGCTACCCCAAACAATTAGTTCACAATGCGCAGCATTAGTTATCATATCAAAACATATTTTGTCCCCCGACGCCACGTGCGGCCGCTCTAACGCCCCTGACTTTAATAACAGCCCTACCCTTTGTAATTGAAGCGTGTAATTCGGTGACATGTTTTTCTAAATCTCATAATTTGACACGGATTTATTTTGGACACTCTTGTTACGTGTTGAAGGATTTGTATTTTAAGTTTTTGCGAGTAGAACTATGTTAGAAGCTAGTGTAAGTTTGTAGGTACCTATTAGGTTCGGGTTGATGACATCAAACTAAGTATATTTATCATTAGCGATGCGTCCAAGTGTCGTACGGGTGCGAAGATGACAGTTTTTTTATGTAATTGATATTACTTATTTTTTTTTCGTGTACTTATTTAGAGGATTTACGAGTGCGTTGCCAACCTTTTGGGGATTAGGGATTTGGCGGGAAAGGATGGGCCTCATAAAACCTTGCTCAATCGGCGAATTATACAAAAAGTACTCTGTGGTTACTTCATGCCGGTTTTCTGTGTGGCCGTGGTATCTTTCCGGTCGAGCTGATCCATTCGTGCCGAAGCATGGCTCTCCAGCACTTAAAAAGTACCTATATAATATTAGAACCTATTAATATGGTAAGGACAATGGCGAAATTTTAGCTGACTTAAATTTGGGCGTCTTAAAATCACTTAGGATATACGAAAGAAGATCCGTTATGTAGCACAGCGAAGTAGCAGTGGTAGAATTCATGAAGGGTGTGCTACCTGAAAATGTAGCAAACGGAATAAGAACGAGATGCAAACATCTGCAGTACCTACTCAAGTCAGTTTATTTTTGGCCAAATTATGACTTGAAAAATTATCTCTGTTCGGAAACTTTGGTCGACAATAACAAATTCAAGGCGATTGTGGAATCTGATGGAACTCAATCTGCGGCTGAATTAGCAGCAGCTTTTGACGCCTCAAGCCTCAAAAAAGCCTATTACCTTACATTAACACAATTTCATTGATGAAAATGATCATCAGCATGTAGGATGAGGCAAAGAGGAATGTCCGACTAAAAACTACCCTGTTCCTTCTCCTGCTCCAGGCCGAGGCCGCCGCCTTATTACGTTTGCCCCGTAACTCCGGGCCCAGTCTGTGGTGGTCTAGTGGTCCTTCGAGGCGTGCGCGTGCCATACGCTCAGATTTGATTCTGGTCATGCGGCGAGCTACCTTTGCTCGTAGCCCTCAAACCGCGCTTACGGTGGCCGGAGATCGTCGGATCGGCTGGGGCGTGAAAAGGTTAGTTCTTCACTACTTAGCAGAAAGAGGAAACGGCTTCCCAGTTCTTTTCGCTTTGCACCATGGCTCCGACTGAGCTCAGACTCGAGAGGTCGCCGCCGCCGATCACTTCCCTGAGGGCACACCGCCACCGTATGCTCCACCGTGCCCCGGGTGGTCCTCACAATGACAAAATCTGGGCTTTTCCTCCCGTTGCACCCGATACAGGTACCTAGCGCAACTTCCTTATCCATTAAGCACCTGCATCAGACGGCAGGTAAAGACGTCATGGCGTCTCTCCAACCAAACTCAAGCATGGCTAACAACTTACCTTACATGACTCCGTAAGCTCAAAATAAAAAAAGGACTAACAAAACTTTCAGAAAATGAGTACCTATTTAAGTTGCGCTCCATCAACGAGACACACGAAAAAAAATTAACACATCAATGCAACCCTCAAAGATATGAATGAAAAGCTTTACCCAATCTGCACCAATTTTGTGTCAAAGTTGACAAATATCGTCAATTTCGTCAGAGCAGGACAATGCATGCGTTGCTAATCCGCCATCTGCCGGGGTCACGCCTATCAGCTAATGCGATATGATCAATAACAGATTAGCCAATACGAATCTCGAATACTATTGGGTGCAGGTGCATTTTTGATTTTATACAAGTCTTTGATCCTTATTGCATACGTTTCTAAAAGAAACTTTTGAACAATTCTTCTTACAAGTAATGCTTTTTAATGATGAGGTAGGTATCCTAGGATTGCCTAGAAGATACATACCCCCGGTTTCTGAAAGGCCGATCAATGTGAAAATCAATTTAATCTCTTGTCAAGTCATCTGATTGACAACAACCAATCAGATGAATTGAGATTTAGCAGGAGATTAGTTAATTTTAGTGTTGACAAGCGTTTCAGAAACCGGGTGTTAGTCTCTAAATAAGTGATTTCTTCAGGAGTTACGGGTCAAGCGCCAAATTGTACCGCGGCTTCAAACTTGAACAGGAGAACGAACGGGATGGTTTTTCAATTTGGTTAGAAAGAGGCTGACATTCCTTCTTGTACTAGGACGATAGAAGACATTTTTGATGCCTTCCCTTCTCAAAAATGTGTTGACCTTTTTGAAAACTTGTGGCCAAGAATAAAAAAAAACATAAAAATGGGTTTGAAATTTTTACACGAAGAGCTAAAAAGAATGCGCTTTTCTGTGTGTGAGCAGTAAAGATTTTAATTACCGCTTTTCTTGATTACCTAGTAGAAGTATGTTAAATACAAACAATTATCTTAGGTTATTATATTAATAAATATTAGCGATGTGCTGACTATAATAATAATTCCTAATGACATTCAGTTTAGGAATGATTCAGTTCTTTCAGATCAACATTATCAGCCCACAGGTGGCGACTGCTGAGTAAAAACCTCTTTTCACATGAAGAAGGTTTGAGCATTCATTGCCACGCTTAATCAAGGCGGTTTGACAAAAATTTACTAAACAAGTCCAGGTTTCCTCACAATGTTTTTCTTTACCTCTACCTAATAGAGGTCTAGTAGTATTTTTATTAAAAATGTTGATGTTTAACAATGATTGCGAATTGAAAACCTACTGCACATAAAACTACTCAAAACCGACTTAAAAACGACTGCCGTTAAAAGCATCAATTTTTACATTTAGCTCATACTGCACAATGTCAAGCAATGTATTTTTCAATGCTTTCACGTAGTGTTACAGCAATTTCAGAAATCAGTGGTCGATACAGACCGCCTCTTGCGCCTGCTGCGACCAATCAGGGCTCGCCACCCTCATCTCTCCCTTCACCCAACCAATCAGAATCGAGAAAACTGTTCCAACTATGGTAAGGGGTGAATTGAGAGCTCGATTTTGCAAATTCATCTTTACAACATTTAATTTTGGGTGTATATTTGCAAAGCAAGTAATGTTAATAAAATTGCAAGCTCTGAGCGTAAAGATATAATTTGATTTAGTTCGTTTTGGTGATTCGTGGCTTGTGGTCGGTCTTTGAAGGTCCTGGAGTGATCCCTAGTACCCTTTGGGCACTGGTGGTGGTGTTGATTTTGTCCAAGAGTCTGTGGAAAGGTATCAAGATTCATTTCCCGCTGATGTCATACGGCAGCGAGACGCCGCACGTCTGGAGCAGCTCAGCAGTATGTTGATTTTTAATAATTTTTCATTAAGTTTTTGTAAAAGAAATTGAAAATAATTATGCCTCTGTAAAAAGATCACGATAGTCTCCCTAGTTTTGGGCTGTTCATTGCCAAATTATCGCTTACCCAGGTAAACTTTAACACTTGGTGGCTGAACTTTAACATTCAAAATAATACAAAAATAAATAGTTTAGAATCATTTATTTTAATTAGACCCTTACAGGTACTTTTAAACGTCAAACAAAAATATTGAAGATATAGTGTCAGTTTGTCGGTCAGTCCTCTTAGTGAAGCTATTTGCTCGTTCCAAAGTGTAGATTCCGATGAAGAAGAACAAGCAAGAAACTCCATGGTTACTCTTTTTAAATCAGTTTCACATGCAGATTCCTCATACAAACAGTTGGTTCAATTATGTGAGAACAGTGTAACTCGAATTTCGGTTTTTCTCATGCAACCACCGACAACGTCACTTTATGGATACCACCGTCGTCATTCCACCTAGCTGGAAGGAGCCCTACACTAAGTTTGCCTACACGATTGGAAGGTAGTGTCGGACTCTTAAGGTCTAAGACTAGGTAAGCTAGCGCAACAAGGTACCGCGGCCTCGGCCTAAAGCAGGAGAAGAAACGGGGGCTTAGTCACTACAGTCTGACACTGACTCGCGCCTCAACCTAAGCGAGAGAAGACATTTCATGATTTTCCCGTCACAAAAAAAGGTCTTAGACTAGCCATTCAACTCCTGTTGCGTGGGGCCTCGTTAACCAAATGGCAACCTACCTGGCAAGATTTAGGACAGAGTTCATGTAACTACCCGAGCGTACTGGCGCTCCGCGCGCGACTCAAAAAGCCAATAGGCCACCACAGACGGGAGAGCCATTTAAGTGTGGAAGAGCCATGCTTCGACACGAATGGGTCGGCTCGACCGGAGTGAAACCACGGCCTCACAGAAAACCAGCGTGAAACAACCACAGCGTTGTGTTTCGCCGTGTGAGTGAGGTTACCAGAGGCCCAATCTTTCCCCTTTGCCGATCCCTCCCTAATCCTTAAATCTCCAAAATCCTAATCCCTAAAAGGTCGGCAACGCACTCGTAACTCCTCCGTTGCGAGTGTCCAGGGGCAGCGCTGATTGCTTATCATCGGGTAATCCGACTGCTCGTTGGCCGACTTATTACTTATAAAAGAAACAGACCGGGCCCTATAAGTCTGATGTTCAGCTGGGGTTCCGGTCAAGCGCCAAAGGTCACCGCTGCCTCGGCCTAAATCAGAAGAAGGAATGGGGCAGGTTTTTAGTCATTAAGAGACTGACTCTACCTCGCGCTCGACCCTGGACGGGAAAGGTCATTTTACTATTTTTCCCCTCACAAAAGAAAATAGAACTATCTGTATTAATGTTTATCTTCTATTCTTTCATCCAGGGTAGCGAGGTGTCTCCTTACGGGCCGCTGTGGGACGCTCCGCCGGCACCCGTGCCGTACCCCGACATCCTGGCGTTCCCGCCGGCCGACCTTGGTAACTAGTCTATTTCATTTCTTTTTATTCTATGGATCAATTGTAGACCATGCTATAATTATGAAATATTATTTAATCAGGATTATTCCAGAATTATTACCGAAATTCTCTGGTCTGCTACGCTGAGGAGCTCATAGAAGCCCCTTGTCAAGAATGTGTTTGTAATGTATAAAAAGTGTGATCCACTAAAAGTCTTTTAGAGTACTTCGGCTTTACTAGTCAATTGCTGCCTTGTTTGTCCACTTCTTATAGAAAACCATTAGAAAATCTACTGATTGTATATCAGCTGAATAGTTAGGGTAGGTTAGCATATTTTTAGGAGTTTCTGGTTTTTATAAAATAACTTTATAAACTAAGTAAAAATTGACATGACCAGTGTGGTCGGCGGCGGGATGCGGCGGTCGCGCGGGCGCTCGCGTTCCATCAGGCGGCAAGAAACCACGTCGCCGTGTCGCGTCCGTGGCACAACGTCGCGCAGCCAACATTCGCGAGCGACGCCGCATGTTCAATCTCAATGAAGCCTTCGATAAATTGCGTAGGAAGGTTGGTATTGAATATTAAGCTAAACCATTGCATGTCGTCGCCAGGTGGCAAGAAGGCGCGGCATCGCGTCGCCTCAGTCGCGCAACGTCGCGCCGCCAACATCCGTGAGCAACGACGCACTTTCAACCTTAATGAGGGCTTCGATAGGTTGCGGAGGAAGGTTTGTACTTGATTTAATTGTCATGCATGTTTTGTCTGCAGGGTTGTCTCCAGCGACGGCAGAGTCTCAATAAACCAAGTAAGTGATTTATTTACTTTTGTCAATCCTTGGCTTTAGTTAGCTAAGACTTCGGTTTTTCAAATAGATGCTACTCCTGTCGTCTCAGTCAAGTGAAGTCAGATAAGGACAGACATAGAAGAGTCAATTTCTGCTACTTTTAGCCGGGGTTGCGGGACAAGCGCAATGAGGCCTCGGTCTAGAACAGGAGAAGAAATAGAGAGTTTTTAGTCTGACACTCCCTCCAGTCCCACCCTGGGCGGGAGAAGTCATTTGATGATCTGCAACTTTTACTTCCGGAGATCTTAAGCTGAATAAACAACGTTATCTAGTTGCTAATCTTGGTAAGTATACGTATTTTTCTACTAAGGAGTGATTTTTCAATGGTTAGATAAAAGTTGCCTGGGAAATAATTATGATGCTGTCGCGTCAGAATGTTTGTAGGTATAAGACAGTGACATCAACAATTTTTTCCTCAGATCACATTTATCTGACTATTGAAAAATGAACCCTTAATACCATAATTAATATTCTAAGCGTTAGTATGATAGAAATTCATCGAAATTTGACTGATAACTATTGAAGGAAATCCGCCGCTACCATAGGTCCCCCTTGACCAACCGTTGCGGTAACGTTTTAAAAATAATTACCAACAAAGAAGACCTCCTTTTTAAATAACTGTAAAGGCATTATTATAATCTGTTCTTCTCTGTCTAGGTGCCGACATTTGCTTACGAAAAGCGTCTCTCCCGCATTGAGACCCTGAGGCTGGCCATCACCTACATCAGCTTCATGTGTGAACTGCTCCACGGCTCTCCTCAACCCCACCATGCCTCCCACGCTATACATCCTCCGAGGCATGTGTTCGATGCTGAAGTACCGTGGTGCGCATAGAATTCCGTTCTAGAATGTTCTTGGGTCATGGGGAATTTAGGAAGCGTTGTTTTGCATTGGATTGAAAAGTTGACATTTTCCGTTTGTAGCTATATTTACTATTTTAAATATTTACCAATCATGATACATTATTTTCATTTAACAAGGATAAGAATTTTGTTCTTTTTTAGCGTTGAGTTTTATATAAGTATATATTATACGAGTAGATTCTTTCGTTGGTATATACTGGGTGTTATTTTGGACGAGGGACTTATTCAAGGAGTCGATTTTGGTGCTAAATTACAACAACTTTTTTCATATCACCAATATTGAAATCTCAAAATTAATTTAATTCCATATACAAATCGTAACAGCTGATTGATCATTAGATCAATTTTTATGGAGCTGTAAACGTGTCTTTGAGATTTCCAGTGGAAAAAGTTGTTGTAATGGATCACCAAAATTAGCTCCTTGAATGGTATGTTCTTCGTTCAAAATAACACTGTATAAATCCTTTCGAGGCGCGGGGATCTATTAAAGTCAAAATCCTGAAAATGCTTTTGCCGATACTAACGAAATTACCTAAAGAAGCCTGGAACAATCATAGCATTGTGTTTCGCTGTGTGTAATGTGAAAACGCTCTTAAATGCCTAAGTTTGTTATTCAAGATATTGTTGGGATGTTACCTCAACTCCGAATACAAAATAAAATCAACTAATTTCAATAAGTAATACGAGTATGACGTCTGTTTGTTTTTCTTTGTTACCCATTTGGGTATTTTATTTATTAATTTACATACCTACATAATGTGTTATGTATAAATCTATTTACCCATTTTAAAGAGAATTTTCTTACGTATATTATTCGCATGTTATGAATATAATACTTATACCTAATAATCATCAATCATAATATGAAATTTAGGTTTAACTTGTAAGCTAGTCAATTAAGTTAAGTATTTTACTTATAGGTATGTAAGTGGAAATAATCATGAGAAACTATTTATCGCTGATTATAATTACTGTCTTCCATTAATTAGTATTATTACGTAATAAATATTTAACAAATACCAGCACGTGTTTTTATTTCAACCGTAGCTTTTACCTATGTGTAAGAAAAGTAAATGTAACATGTATTCCTTGTAAAATTTTGACTAAAAGTTAGTAAATGGCTTTACTCACCTTGGATGTGGCCAGAGGGAGTGTCAGACTCTTACTGACTAAAATCATCCCGTTCCTCCTTCTGTACCAGGACAGGCCCCCGGGGCCGCGATGCCTCATTGCGCTTTTCCCGCAATTCCGGCTAATTTATTAGCCTTATAGGACCCCGTCTATGGTGATGACTCTAAGAGGCGCGCGCGGAACACATCGCGCCTGATATTCAAGCCACATTCGAGATAGATCCACATTAGAGATGTGGATTTCAAGCCATGTGATTGGTGAATCGTGGCACAGCTCTTCTCCGCTCCGCCTCAATGGAACTGCACCCTTACGCTCGGGTCTGGTTCTGGTCGTGCGGCGAGCTACCCTTACTCACCGCCCTCAAGCCCGCGTGACACGGTAGGTGTAACACATTATTTGCTGATTGCAAAATAGGACGGCAGAGACCTTGGTCTAAAATTGGTCCATTTATAAAACTTCAAATAAGTATGTTTTGACGAATACTTACAAGCAATTTTCCATGATAAATAATTTGAATATTAAACTGATTGAAAATCGCTGTGTGATTGAGGTTACCGGAGGCCTAATCCCCCTTTCCCCATCCCTTCCCAACCCTTTAAAAACTTATCCCCGCACTCGTAACTCCTTTGGTGTTGCGGGTGTCCAAGGGCGGAGTGTACGATTGCTTACCATTTGATTTAAAATACCATATCAAGGATTTAAAATTTCTTAATAAATTCCAGCTATTGTTATTTTTGTTTAATAACAACATTGTAAAACAATTTTTTAAAGACTGAGTTTCTGTTTCGTTCTTCTCCATTCGTTTCTGCAATTTAGAACGAGCACCTAGCTTCACTGATGAACAGACTGACAGACTACTATTCTATTTTGACGTTTCAAAAGTACCTATGTGTGGTTTAGGTTTTTTTTTTTTTTGGTGTCGGGTTGGAAAATCCTCATGGAGACCCATCCCCTTCGGGGAAGGGCGAAGGGTACTGTCAGACTCTTACTGACTAAAAACCAACCCGGTGTTCCTCCACTTACCCATGTGTCGCAGGGGCGGGTATCGCCGAAGCATTCGTCGCAACCCCCCGACGGGTGTTGGCCCGCCAGACGGTAAGGCGGGCCCCGTCACCCACTGCGGCCGTCACCCCGACCGCAGGACTCCACTATGAGGCGCGCGCGGAACACGGCGCCGCCGCCTCGAGGCCTGCTGCTGGTCGGACGACAAGACGCCCCGAGTCTGTCGTCCGCAGGCCGCGCCCTACGGTGGCCGCAGGTCGGCCACCCTAGTGGTTTAGTTGGAATAAATGATTTTGACTTTAATCATATTGCTCATTTGCCAACCTATCATAAGTTTCTTGTTCGTTCTTCTCCATCGGAATCCATAATTTGGAACGAGCAAATAGGGCACACCTGCACTAGAGTAGGTACTGACCGACGGACTAACTATGTTTTTAACTAGCGACCTGCCTTGATTCGCACGGTTGCAATGGTGACTGGTTTTTTTTTAATTTCTCCACTTTTACATTTTTTTATGGATGTTATTATACTTTTAAGTACGTTTGTGCATGTAGCTTAGGCCACCTGTAAAAGAATAGGGTAAAATAACTAAACGGCCTATACTCACAGTATTATTATCTTGCTGCATGGCATTGAATAGGTGAACTTTTTTTAATTAGGGCCGTGGAACTTTTTTAAAATACCCTCGTATTTTAAACGTAAGAGTACACAAATATAATCAGAATGCTCCGAACTGCTAAGCTGTCAGGAGTTACAGGTGTTATTGTCAGAAAACCATTAAAGATAGGTTAGTATGCTATTGTAAAATGTTTTTTAGATAATTTTATATAGAACATTTCCGTGATACATGATTTTTATGTAACTTTAACCATTAAAGATGCACATGCGACGGAAGCTTAAAACAGGGAGTAACTTCTCCCGTTTTCCCAACATTTCCCTTCAATGCTCTGCTCCTATTAATTGTAGCGTGATACCAGGTTTCGTTAAATTCTGTCAAGTAGTTTTGGTTTCTATCATACAGACGGACAAAAATTTAACAGATTACTTTTTGGACATCACTGTCGATCACAAATCACCCCCTAATAGTTATTTCGAAAATATATATTTCATGTACAGAATTGACCTCTCTACAAATTTATTAAGTATAGATATAGATTACTTCACTTTTTACCGATAAGGAATAGAATCCCTTGCAGACCTAGGCAGGCGAACTCCAGCTCCAACGTCCGCTGCGTCATAGCTTTCAACAAGCGCATAGCTTTTTGAGAAGAGAAAATCATTAAATTACGCTCGCCTTAGGTGGTGTGAGACAGAGTGTTAATCTCTTACTGACTAAAAACCACCCCGTTCGTTCTCCTGTTACGGGACAGTGCCGCGAATCATTATTGCACTTGTATCCGCAACCCTGGTTGAGCTCTACCCCGGTCGCTGGAATCGGCGAGAGGTGTCACTCGGTGCCCCCAGGGATCGGTATTGGGACCTCTCCTGTGGAACATCGGGTACGATTGGGTGCTACGCATCGATCTCTCGTGCGGCGTCAGCATTGTCTGCTATGTTGACGACACGCTGGTGCTGGCGAACGGGAGGTCGCATCTGGCGGCGGCCGACCTGATGTCACAAGCGGTTGCGACAGTCGTTGCAAGGATCCGGCAGTTGGGACTCGAGGTGGCGCTCCACAAGTCCGAGGCCATGTGTTTTTATGGCCGTCAGAACGCGCCACCTCCAGATGGGTCCCAAATTACGGCAGGAGGGTTACCAGCGGCGTCGAGTCTGCGATGAAGTACCTGGGTCTCGTCCTCGACAGCCGGTGGAACTTCACGGAGCATTTCCAGCTTTTGGCTCCTAAGTTGGAACCTGGACAGGGCGAGTAAGGGTAGCTCCACGCCCGACCAGAACGAGACCCGAGCGTACGGCGCATAGCGTTCCGCGCGCGGCTCAAAGAGCCAATGGACCACCGCAGACGGGGCCCTATAGGGCTGATGCTCAGCCGAGGTTGCGGTTTAAGCGCAATGAGTCACCGCGGCCTCGGCCGAGAGCAGGAGAAGGAACGGGGGTGTTTTTAGTCAGTATGAGTCTGACACTCTCTCTCGCCTTACCCTGGGCGGGAGAAGCCAATAATTTTCCCATGACAAAAAAACCCAGGCTGAGCTAACTACTAACCTGATGACTTGTTCATACCGCATATGTATAAGTAGAAAAAGGTTTTACTATAACAACACCAATATACGCTTAAGATTTTGCTAAGATACCTCGTGTTATTTTCGTAAAAAGACATTAAGTAGGTACTTATCTTGTAAGTAATGATTTCTATGATTCTACTAATTTAAACTTAAAAAAGGTCATTTGCAATAATGATCCAATTTTTGAGATTTACGTAATCGTTGCTCAATGAAGTAATTCTCTTCGAAAATGATGATAATGATAAATTAATGAAACTAATTTGGCTAAAACTCATTTGCGATAAATTAGGACATTTTCCGTAATCTGTGTGGTATAAATTCAGGGCTCTAGTTTACCTTTTATTAGTATCAATGTGTTCTTTGTGAGTGTAACATATTTCAAGTGAATTAATTTTAAATCCAGTGTTGTTAGTGATCTTTGTCCCAAAATCTACTTCAGAATATATTCTTTAATTGGTTCATTGCGTAAAGTGTTTATAAGATTGTTGTGCAATAACTGACTGCTCAGCCCTGGTGTTGACGTTTTGAACGTCTTCTGGAACTAATTCAGATTTTAAAAATGCGTCTGTTCCTGCTAAATGTAAGTTTTTTTTATTGAAATATATTTTTTTTTAATTTTGGTAGCAAAGTAACTTTGCTTGTCAATTTGTTGCTTTTTGTTTTTGTATATAATCTAGCGAAAAGCTGTAGGCAGTACCTATGTAGATTTATTAAACGTTTAAAATGTGCAAAATCTTCATTACCTATTGTTGTTCCGTTCAACTTAAGATTAAAATGTAACTATAAATAATATTAATGTTAATTTAAAAAGAAACAATAGAGATCATATAATCTTATAATTTTCTGACTGTTTTATGGAACACTAGTCAAAGCTCCATTCTATAAAAATATTTCTCATTTGTTTCAGTTTATGCTACTGGTGGGCATCGCCATAGCATCAGCAGAAGAACGTCACAAGAGACATTTTCCAGTCTTAATCAAATTGATAAAATCAGCTTTATTTGGGCCAGAGGAGCCAGAAATCATTGAAGAAGTAGCTGTCCCACTTTCGAAACCTGAATATGAAGTATTTAGATTACCTGGACATGATAATGTAGTGGTTAAAGTTAGTCCGAAGATGGTCAACGCTGAAGGGGTTGTGTATCAAGAAGTAGAACCAGTAAACCTCAAGGCTTTTGGATCAGTCGTAGGAATAGAATCTCCAGATGATACTATAGCAGCCGTGAGAAAAGTAGATACACTACTCTCTTCTGGTATTTTATATGGGGGATACGACGGATTGATGAAAGACCATGTCGTCGCAATGTTTCCTGGTATAAGAACTGTAGAAGAAGAAATTGTTCCTGTCATTGAATCAAGACCTGTAATATCAGAAGTTATTAGACCTTTAGAAGGAATTGAGTTTGAGGTGCCGTATGATCCGGTTTCATATGAACAGCTAAATAATCATGAGCAAGCAACAATCATTACCGCCGATACTAAGCCAGGAACAGAATTAGTGGAAAGTATTAAAAAGAATGAACTGCCTTACTGTATAAGGAGAAGAATTGACGCAGCGCTTCTCTTGGGTGCTGATCCTTACAGATATGAGAGGGTAGAAGAAGTTTACACTGCTCCAGTAGTTGATATTTTTTACCCTAAGCTAGGGGACCCTGTTATCGAAAGTCGGTTTCACGAGAAAATTTTAAAAGGTTTTGAAACTGTTGCTCACAAATCTCAGAAACTTGGAGTTCCTTCAAATTCAGTTCATTTAGAAGACGTTCAAGTTAGTTTTTCTAAAGGTGATAGTGATTCGAAGAATGATAAGTTAACTGCTTTTACAAATGTTGGCAAAAAAGTTGACTTATCTCAGACGCTTGGACCTATACCATCTTGGTACTTGGAACGAATGAATATCACGGACAATTTGAAGACGAATCAACTGAAACCAGTCGTTATCGCAGCACCTAAAGAAAAGGTTGTATCCCAACGTGTTAAAAATGCCGATCATCCGGAAAATTCAATAAAACTCCTGAAGTCTAAAATGATAACTCCTCATCCGTTACGTTTCCATTCTTTACATCCAGTTAAAGATAATGGTGATTTGGATGATCAAAACGTATCTCCTCATACAATTAATGTAGTAAAGGCGGATCAATCTCCTACGTATCCATATTTGAAACGTACAGAAGCTAAGGCTATTGTGAAGAACAATAATGAGCCGAAACCAGTCATAATCGCACCATCTAAAGAACACAGTCTTTCCCAATACGTTAAAAATGTTGTCGTTGCACAAGCAAATTCGAAGACTAAGATCGAAGAAAGTGACACGAAAGCTGAACAGAATACTCGTCTAAACGAAAATCTTCCATCTCGTAATGTTGAAATTGCGAATGTTGCTGAAAAGTTAAAAACTGTTCACAAGAAAGAAGGTGACCAAGTGAAACCAATCCAAGTACCAATTACAAGCACATCTAAAGCTGAAGCAACAATCACCGATGGTAACGACCAGGGCTACGTTTACGTTAATCACCCTAATACAATGGCAATAAAACAAGTGGAAGAAAATGACGTACTTAAGACAAATGTGAAAACGAACAACAATAAAAATCTTAATGTGGTTGAATCTGTAAAAATTGAGCCAATAAAAATAAGTGCAGCACAATTGAAAGAAATTAAAGAAGATAAAAAAGCAATCGAATCTAAAAGAGTTGCAGTTCCCGTGTCTATTGTTAATCCACTTAAAAGAAATGATTTGAAAGAGAAAGAATCTTTCGCACATAATCCAGAATTAATCTTAAACAACAACAAAAAAGATAAGGAAAATTATCACCAAAAACACTTCAAATTGATTGAACCACATGCAAAAACTTATTCATACCAACAAAAGCAAGCAGACGGTTCGTCAATAAACGTCGAAGCGGATAACAACGGCATCTCAGTCGATTTCAAAGGAAGAGGAGATATACCAGACAAATAAATAGATCATAAATTAGTTTTAAATATTTATTAATATTAGATTTACTTATAATTTAATATTTATTCTAAATATAAGCTTATAATAAACAAATATTTTCAATAATTTAAAGCCTGTTTTTTTTTCGTTGGAGTAACATGGCACAGATTATAAATGTGTTGGATGTTTCAACTTACAACAAGTTTAATTTGAAGCGAAATCCATAAACATAAATAAATGCATTTTTAAACTATTTCCAAAGACATCTGCTTTCAGAAAGCTACAAGGGTTACCTACTTTTTATATGCATCAAATGCATCAGAAATTGGCATTTACGTAGGTAGGTATAGTTTATTTAGATGCTCGATTTTTATTTCAAAATGTTTATAACGCATAGACTATGACGTAGAGATAGAGACGCGTTCTTTATTAGGCAACTTCTTCATTAGAGAGTAGACAAAATAATTTTAGGCCAGTTAAAAACAAAGACAGTGTATGAGCTAACCATAGTCTGAATAGAAATACTTTTAATAAGTTTTGTCTTTGTAATTTTTCGTTGTTGTGGTAAGTCATAAAAATTTTACAACGACCTGATTTTGAATTTCTTACAAGACATTTTTTTTATAGAATTTAAAAACTGTACATAGGTAAGTACAAATGGCAGTGTTATAACTATTTTCTTCCGAAATACAATTAAAAATGTAAATAACACAGCATATTTATCTATTACTTACTATTTGGCTATTTATTTTTAGGGGCAGGAGGACTCGGATATAATTTAAATTAAGTTCTTCTCGTAACTGTAACATTAACGACATATTTTATACCTTATATTTTAACAGTTTGGGGTCAATTTTATTCTTTGAATAATATACAATATTACATTAATTTGTTTAGTACAATAACACTTATAGATTTCCATTGATTTTATCATAAAAAATGTTCCAAGCTTGTTTTACGAGCTTAGACCATCGGGCGCCAATCAGATCCTTGCAACTTTTACCTGTCAAAATGTCAAATATCATGTATGCCAGATTATTTCGCGGTATTTTTTGTACAGATAAAAAATGAAACCTATAGATTAGACGCATTATAATGAAAACTATTTGTTTAAAATAATTCGTTGTCCTCAAGAATAGTGTATAGTTCGTTCCATAATTAGAGACAACAATTTGACAACAGCAAATGTCAAACTGCAAAATAATGTGGCCAGATTTTTTGACATAGTGATGGGCCCGAGTACGATGTTTTAAATAAAATACCGATACCGTTTTTTTATAAAATACCCTGAACAAAATAAAACAAAGTTGCCGTGATATTTTTATAGTTTAGTGGAATTAATAATAATAATTTAAAATAAAAATATGAAATCCAAGACTTTCTAAAAGAAAAACATTAGATTTGAGGAACCTATGCTGAAAGCCGAGATTTTGGAGATTTCCCGGAAAAAGAAGAGTAATTATGAACGATACGTCGTGGACTGATGGCTGCTAAAAGGTGGGTCACTATTTTACGGTTGCCTCCTTACCATTATGATTTTAACCCGACTGAGTTAGTATGGGCACAGGAAGCTACCAGGGAAAGTAGCTAAAAATAATAAAGCTTTTAAAATGCACGAAGTCCAGAATTTAATTTCGGTCTTTCGGTCAATACCGGTCGCGGGACTTCACTATTTATGAAATGGAAAAAACATGCAACACTCGAAATGTCAAATCGTTGTCTCTAATTATGGAACGAACTATAGAAGTTTTTCATACCAGTAGGTAATTAGAAATTATATACAATCAATTTTCTAATAATTACATTTTTTGCGCATACATACGTTTAACGTAATCGTACAAATAACCAATAAGTAATTTGTGTTAAAAATGAAAATATTTTTTTCCTCGAAAGGTTACAAGTCAGAAGCCATGTTTTTAATCAGTCGTAGTTCAAACAGCACTTTCTCTGTGTAATGTGAGGGTGACGTCGGGAGGGGGAGGTTCCCAGCGGTCCCAGGCAGGTTTGCGGCGCCGCTCGACAGGTGGCGCTGACTCGCCTGACGCGTCAGAGTAGCCGCTACTGCAGGACCGTAGGCTGCATGATGCGTGCACTTTGTGCTCTGTAATGGAGAAAGATTTATTTATTGCCATTATGTTCTTACTGGAATATATTACATCTTTATAATCTAATGTAAATTTTATTGATTCCAGCATCATCATCGTGGCAATTGTCATATCTATTTTAGCTCTGACTTGGATGCTTCTTTAACATGAACGATTCGAAACCATGAAAATACAGTACTAGAAAACTTAGACAGAATTCAGATAATCCTTGAACGAAATCGGATGGAAGATGATGGATATAGTGCGTAAAGTACACCAAAGAGTTATACCAAAGTTCTATGACTATTGTGATAAAAATGTGTACGGAACATACCTCCAATATTATCCAGATAGTTCCTAGCTACATCATCGAGCTGCAGCACCTGTATGACGGGCTGCGGTTTGGAGCGCGGTCTCCGCGCCAGCCGGATCACCAGCACTGAGGATATGATGAATACTGCCACCAGTACCATGGCACCCAGTGATATGCCCACGTCTCTGTCTAGGAAAACTGAAATAAAGACGGTTTAAAACGCATAAGATATACAATATAAAAAGATTTGAACATTCAAATATTAAAGCTAATTTTCCGAAAACCTAACGCCATCTATTGGCCAATATAAGCTTAGAGTAAGGGTGAAAACAAACAGGGCAGTTTGGTTTGTTCATAATTAAAATGCGCGCTAGATGTCTCTATTATCAATTTGTTTACAAAATGCGATTTCAGAATAATGTTCACAGAATTTATTGTTTCTAGTAATTACTAAGGGCCGGTTTTTTGATCCGTAGTTAACCCAACCAATTGTTAAAAATCTTGACTAATGGTTAAATATCGACAAAATGTGTTTTTTGATCATTAGTTAGCTTAACTAATTGTCAAATTATTAACTATTAGTCAAATAATTTAACCACGGCTCGGTGGCGGGTTAACCAAGATGGCGGATAGTTAAACTAGATTCGACAGCTGATTCTTGCTTTGTTGTATAATTTTGTGATCTCATTCCGAAGAATTACATTTTATCTATAATTAATTTAAATAGTGTCCGTTATTTTGATGCGTCAGACTCAGAAGATTTAAAGTTAGAACTGCGGTTTTCCCTGGCATAATGAATAAAATACCACATCAAAATACATAGTATAAATACCACGAAAGTCAGCACAATACTTGAGGAGTTATGGATGACAATTCAATAACATTTTTTTATGTAGTAGTTCGGCAAACGAACACATGGATTACCTGATGGTAAGCAATCAGCGCCGCCCATGGACACCCGTAACGGAGGAGTTACGAGTGCGTGGCCGATCTTTTAGGGATAAGGGATTTGGAGGGATTGGAGGAGGGGAAGGATTGGGCCTCCGGTAACTTCACTCACACGGCGAAACACAACGCTGTGGTTGTTTCACGCCGGTTTTCTGTGAGGCCGTGGTATCACTCCGGTCGAGCCGACCCATTCGTGCCGAAGCATGGCTCTCCCACACTTATAAGACATATAAAGAAAGACTTGCAAAAAACACCAAGTTTAAGAAAACACTATAAAACCCATAGACAGAGAATAGAATAGACAAGCCATTAAAACAATAATAATGGTTAGAGCGAGAAAGTGCAAATGGAATATATGTAGGTTATATGTAGGTGTGAGCAAGACAAAACATACGTTTCTTGTCCCTTTTTAGCGTAATTATGCTTTATTTTATTTAAATCGAACCAATACGGTAAATTAATACGGTAAATTGTATATGTTATACTATCTCTATGATAAAACCAAACGATTCCATTTGAAATCAAGACACTTTTGAAAGTTTTGAAATATCAAAAATGACATTTGGTTCAACTTCATTCATTATTGATCAGTGTTGTCAGTTAAAGAAAAATACCCACAAATAAACACGTTTTTTCTAGGGAGGAAGTTGTTCATTGCACTGGCAACAAATTAACCAATAGTTATGTTTGACCATAGTTAAAGTGGACATCAAAAAATGAAATTACGTAATAACAATTGGTTACCCTCTTGACTATAGTTAAGATAACAAATAGTCAAATCGTATTTAACTACGGATCAAAAAACTGGCCCTAAGAAACACGACAGATGCCTTTAGTTAAGAGGCTGGATATTGTAAAAAATTGTTGATAGCCTTCTGTTTCTTATCAATTCATTGATAAGAAAAATATGTTGCTAGTGTCTGTAGGTATTATGGTTAGAATTTTATGTCTGGTTATTTTTACAAAAGCGAAATACACTTACAATGCCACCAAGGTGGATCGGCAGCGTGTAACAAGGTATCTGTAGGGCGGAGAAGCAGGGGCGCTGAGCATCCATATCTATTGCAAGCTCTTGCACCAGCTTCATCGCCTCTTCTGACGGCACCAAGCCCAGCTCGAACAGCTAGACCACCAGCTAAAGCGCTGCTGGGTGCACCAGACCCAGGCCCACCAGCCGCTAGAGCTCGTCCACTACCAAACCCCATACTGGCTCGACGCTCCAATACTAAAGTTGAGTTACTTTCCGATATCCTCCATACTGATACTTCATAGTAGGTTGCGTTTTCCACTGTAATAGAGAAATCAGATAATCAGAATGGGTTGGTCAGTTATGGATTTTTTTATGCAAAAAATATTACTTATGGATCTTTTAGATTAGACAATAATGGAAAACGAATAGACTTAGCGAAATGCTACTACTTCTCCACAGAGTTCCTGATTTGAAGTTGTATTTTTAACTAGCTACTTTCGCGCGGTTTCACTCGCTGCTCGGCTCTTAGATAAGTGGAGTAACGAACACAAAAATAATTGCTCAATCCGAACCAGTATGTCCAGAGATAAGCGCGTTCAAATAAACAAACAAACTTTTCAGTTTTATAATATTAGTATTGATTAATTTTTATGCTCTGTGCCGTTGGGTGACTTAAAACGTCACTCTAAAACTAAGACTGTTTCCATATACATATTTGTCAGTTTCATTGATCTTATACAGCATGACTACTTTTTTCACAGATTGTTTTCTGACTTATTAAGACAAGAACAAAAGCAAAATAAAATAAATATTTATGGAGGGAAGGGTGGGGGGGGGATCCCGTTCTACTGGGCTCATATGGCGTGATAACTTTTTTCACAGATTTGTTTTCCGAACTTAGCCCAAAAGCAGAATAAAATAAATGTTTAGGGGATCCCGTTCTACTAATGTTAAACATAAGAACGAATATTACCTGGAATACACCTCATCTGGAACTCCCCAAACTCATACGTGATATCGCATAGCTGAGGCTGAGGAGGCCTCAAGTGTTCGAAGCCAAATATCCTATCGCAGGGCTCTTCCTGGGACGCCACACCATTGCTAGCTTCACAACTGGCCTTCAAGGTCTCCGCTAAAGGTCCCGTGATCTGATCCAACGGTAATATAGGGGACCCTGTTGTTAAATGCTGGACCTCGAAGCCCGCAGGTTGTAAGTGCCAGAAGTAAGTGTCTGGAGCTGGTAAAGCCTTGACAATGCAGTGCATCGTCTCTCTGACAAGCCTTATCCCGTGGCCCGTGCATTCCGGTGGGTCTGGAGAACAGAATATTTTACATGAATTGTTAATGTTTACTCAATTTTGATGTAGAATTCTTTGCTTAAATTGATGTGTCCAAATTGTTTCGTTTGCGTGACCATAAATAGTCATAAGATACCTACACGAATTAGATGCAATTTCATGTAAAATAACCTAATGAAGAGAGGAATTAAACAAAGTGCAATTCTTCAAAAAAATATGTCTTCACATAATTAATTGAAAAAATCTTGACTGTTTTATGTATTCTGTAGTATGCTTCGATATTTATATAATCATGATGTCATAAGTACTAAACTACTAAATGTAAGTAGTTCTATTTCTCATCTCGTCGTTGCTTTTTAAAAATGGAAAATACATATTCTTTGTAAAATTAAGAAAAATAAAAACAATCTACTTAAAACTCACAGAAAACAGTAATAACGATGGTCTCAGATCTGGTCTCTCCTATGGCGTTACGCGCGGCGCATGCGTACCGGCCGGCGTGCGCACGCGTCGTCTCTTCCACCAGGAGTTGGTGTGACGACGTCGCATCACCCCATATACCGCCAGGCCTTATCTCTATATCCTGGAAATGAGAAACAATATGTAAGATTACTAGGGAATGTGATGAATATCCTTCCCCAATCCTTAAATCTCCAAATCCCTAATCCCCAAAAGGTCGGTATCGCACTCGTAACTCTTCTGTTGCGGGTGTCTATGGGCGGCGCTGATTGCTTACCATCAGGTAATCCGTCTTGTCAATTGCTGACCTCTACCATTAAAAACACTATGAACCTTTGTTGCTTGAAAATAAAAGATATAATAATAATCATTAGGGGAGACCGGGGATGGTTGGCTATAGGGGCAGGTAGACTAGGCGACAAAAACGCGCCACCATCACGTCATTTTTATCAACCAATCACGAACGACGATGCCTTCCCGCGGCCCGCTAACTCGTGTGGAGTTAGACGCCAGAGTCGCGCAGTGTTAGTGAGTGGCATCACATGTTGTGTTTTTGGTCTCGGTAAGTAATGTTTTTGTTCGTATTGTTTTTTGTTATTGTGTCCATAGATCAGTTTGAAACAATTTTTTTGTTATGCCAAATGTAAATATGACAGCTTTATTCTATATCAAACAGTATTCCTTCCATGTTAGTGTCACAGTTTGCATACGATATCGAGTTAAAATTCAAAATGGCGTCCGGGGTTGGTTGACAATTTTTCTTCGGGGTAGGTAGACTAATTAGTCAACCAACTTTAATTACTTATAATGTAAATTTTATACTTATTTTAAAGAAGTATGTGGGCTAACTTAGAGCACCCCGACTCCACTTGGCTCAAATTTAACAAATTAAACAAATTTGTTTAATTTGTTATTCCTACCCGCGGAACCTAAAGACTCGCTTCCTCGGTCCTTCGCCATTCCCGGAGACGCGACCGAGTGCATCATTAATGTTAACACTATTATGGCTTCCCTTACATACTAATTCGTAGCTTTGTATTTTTTTTAGAGTAATGATGATCTTTCAGATGTAGGTGACGACGATGACGCAATTTGTCTGGAATGTACCGAATCCTATTCTGCCAGGAAACCTGGTGAAAAGTGGGTCCAGTGCATTACGTGTAAGTTATGGGCTCATTCTAATTGTGCAAAAGGCAGTTTGCTAATGTAAGAATGTAAAAATTGAAATTCTGATTTAGAAGACTGATATTATGGTCTGATTTTTGATAGATATCTACTTACACTAGATAAGATTCATACCTAGGTTAAGTTTTAAAATTTATATATATAATTATTATATATATAATGTATAAATATATATGTATATAAATTTAATTCAAGTTGCAATTAAGGTTCAAACAGAAAGTACAAAATGTTTGTTACTTATTGTCAAGTTAGGTTTTTAATAGTTTAATAAGAGACCTAAGAGATTACCTTTATCAAAGTTCATTATTAATGGAGAAGGATCTCAAATTTAAGTTTGTTAATAATTAAATAAAAAGTTTATATTATTTAGTATATTTTGATGTTTTATTTTATACTAATCCTCTTTATTCATACTAATTACTGCTTAGGTCAACCTACCCCATGCTAATGGCCAACCAGCCCCGGATATGGGGTAGGTTGACCAAATGTCAGGGGTTTAGAAAATCAACTAAATAAGTATAATTACGAGAAATATATAGTTTATAGGTAAGTATTTTAGGTACCTGAATAGTTATTCTACCTGTATCAACTTTTGTTTTTTATAAATCTAGCTAAACATCGGAAATATTGAAGCTTAAGTAAAAAGTTGGTCAACCATCCCCGGTCTCCCAGCGAAAGCACTAATTTATATTATGTGGTTCTGGAAATGATGGGTCAAACAATCAGAAAAACGATTGCCGAGATCTGCTTCTCATGTTAGGTGCCCTATATCTAAGCCTACAACAGTTTTGCACAACCATTTCTGTTCCCAATTCCAAAAGTTTAAAAAAAGCAATTATTTCTTTCAATACAATTGACAAACTAGTCTGACAAACATTTAAGGCGAGCGACATGTCAGACAAATATTGCTTGCAAGCTTCCTTCTTGCTTAGTGAAACATCTCATTATATGTACTTGGCTAAAAATAGGCACATTATAAGTCAAACATTATTTGGTCCTGCTAATGATAAAGTAACTTTTTTTATTTGCTATAAATCTGCTTTTTTATCATTGAGGTGCATAGAAATGGAACTTGATTACAAATTCCCGCTCTTTGCCTTTTGCAGTATTGTGGCCGCCATTTTGTTTAATTTGACATTACAAAGAAATTAAAAATATATTACGCAACGTTAGCCTTCGAATTCCTAGAAAAGAAATAATGCACAATACAAATTAAGTTCGTTCAGTTTTATTTTTTTTATGATTGCGTAATGTTTCAATACTATCCTTACTCGTTGAATAATATAGTGCAATATTATTGTAGGTAAAATAAAACATGGAATATTTTTTACCTCTTCAAAAGCTTTAGCCAAAACTGTGCTATTTTATAAATGGTTATATACTCTAAAATGTGACTGTCTCCGCCTTCTAAATTGAGCAAAGTATTATTGGATTTGCGGTTTTTATTGTACATTTTTCTCAGTAATAGCACAAACTGTAGTTTTGTGCTTGGTAATAAGCTTAAATCATATTCCTAAGGAGTCCTAAGAGAGTGAACAAAGTGAATAGTAACATAAGTTGCTTTATATGCACAGTACACCTCTTAAGGTATAAGAAAAGTAGTGACAATAGAACAGAAAAATTATAAAAATAGGTTCGATATTAAATATTAACAGACGCCTACGCCTTTCCAAAATTAATAGGTGCGACGTTCTGTAGGTAAAATTTGGTAATAAACAAGCTACACTTAAGAACTGTGTAATTAAGAATCCTAGACACGCGTGGTCGTCGGTTTTTGGCCTTTTAAGTTGGTAACACGAATTTAATGGATACTTACGTTAAAATACCAAGTAAATTGTTCAACCGGTGGGTTGGCTCTGACGTCACACTCTAATTGTAGAGAATCCAATTCCACAACATCGTTTAAATTACCATCGCCCAATTTTATCACGTCTACCATTGGGCTATCTGAAAGAAAAAAACACGAAAATAACTTTTTTTTTCTTTTTTTCTCTTACAAGAAACTTTGCCTCACATAAGGATTTTGTCCTGTGTCGTGGTTCCGTTTACAAACATACAAATTCACAAACCACCCAGACCTGAAACACCAATTTTGTGGATCACATAAAGTGTTGTTCCGTGCGGGAATCGAACCCACAGCACGCTGTACAGCAGACAGTTAACCAGCCACAACACTAACCGTGCAATCAAACACATTATTACAGTAAAAATAAATAGTTTTTCTATTTCGAACTGTGTATCATAAAAACGACAGAAAAATCCATTCAATACAATACTGTATAAGTAGGTTAAACTAAAATAATATTCGTAACAAAACCGAATTTCCCAAGAGGCAGAACGCACGCTAAAACTCATTTACAAAAAAAAAGAAATATCAACATACTCAGAAAATGAAACCTTAAATACGCTACTTCCAATTACAAGATGAACTATTTAGATAACTTTTCGCGAAATAGGGAATGTAATGATGTCACACTGGAGTCCCAGTTGGGCGCCATTACAGTCTGTGCCGTAACGTGGGTACGAACTGTGCTCAGGGATTAAAATCTAGATATGATACATTTTACAGTCAACATTGAGGGCAATGTTACATTGAAACCCAGTTGGGTGGCATTAAAAAGTACATAACGACACAGACGAGAGTTGCGGCCTTATTTCCCATAGTAGGATTTTATTGCACCAAATAATTTGTACCTACATTCTTTGCAAATAAAGAATTCTATTCTATTCTATTCTATTCTATTCTATTCTGTGCTTTGTCGTTGTTATATTATTTTTATGCATAAATGTATGTATGTATACAAATAAAAATGTAATAGGTAGCAACTTTTATTCATAACATTCCTGAAGTCCCATGTTGGGCGCCATTTCAGGTTTATGGACATTGTTATAATTTGGTACACTGAACGTTTGCGGTTTGAATGGGATCTGAATATGACATTTAAATAATTCTGCTTTAAAATATTTATCTAGGATTCAATAGCGGTAACATTAATACTAATGGCGCCCAACAGGGTCATGTGATGGGCGCCATTTCAAGTTAGTTTCATAGTAAAGTATCAACAAATGTCTGTTTTCATAGTTGTGTGTTGTAGTTATGCTATTTATGGACTTACATGTAACATTAAGTGTTATGACATCGGCCTTGGAGCCTCGGTTGGGTGCCATTACTGGATTGGTTGCGACACAAGCGAGGGTAGCGCCATTGTCACCGACCGCTGGGCTCAGCTCGAGGTACGATATCGCTGTCAGAGATGAATTGAACCATGTCTGAAAACAAAGATTGATTGTGATGAAATACATAAATATAACCTACGTTTATAATTTATAATCTAGCTCTATAGATACTTTTTTCTTGTCCATGAGGCTATACTTAGCAAAGGAAAAAAAAAATTGAAGTGTAGGAGAGCCGTGCTGCGGCACGAATGGGTCGGCAGAAAACCGACGTGAAACAAGCACAGCGTTGTGTTTCGCCGTGTGAGTCCCAATCTTGAGCCTAATCCTTCCCCTCCCCCAATCCCTAAATGTCCAAATCCCTAATTCCTAAAAGGTCGGAAACGCACTCGTAACTCCTCTGTGGCAAGTGTCCATGGGCGGCGCTGATTGCTTACCATCAGGTAATCCGTCTGTTCGTTTGCCGACTTATCACATAGAAAAAAAAAATTGCAATTTTTGCAAGATGCACATTTAGAGTGATGTTTTATAGTGTAGTAAGTTTAGCATTCTTGATCTCAATAAACCTTCTTTTAACCAAAACTTATCGATACGCGTCTGTCGACAAGTACACTAAATAATATAAATGGAACATTCTATCCACTTAAAAAACTAATATAGTGTTATTACACTTTGCGGTTAGGTATGTACATGAACTGACAAACATAATTTCTTTAATATCATGAAAGTGAATATGTGATAACATAATTTGTCCGTCTATTACTAAGTAATTTTATATTATTAGGTACATTTTGTTTGCATTGGAAATTTCCATGGAGTTCTGGATGAAATTAAATTACAAGGCTATTGGATAAATGACGCCTGGAGGGCTTAATTTCTTTATTTTGAGGAGATTGGATTACGTGATGTGATTGTTCTAAGTCATTAATTGTTTGTAAAGTCTTCAATTAAATGCGTACGGTATTAGACAAGCGGCAATCGCCCCGGAACAAAGTGTGGGAGAGCCAAGCTTCGGCATGAATGGGTCGGCTCGACCGGAGTGATACCACAGCCTCACAGAAAACACGCGTAAAACAACTACACCGTTGTGTTTCGCCGTGTGACTGAGGTCATCGGAAACCCAATCCCTTCCCCTCTCCCATCCCTTTATACCTAAAAGGCCGGTAACGCACTCGTAACTCCTTTGGTGTTGCGGGTGTCCATGAGCGGCGATTGCTTACCATCAGGTAATCCGTCGGCTAGTTTGACGTACTGTCGTATTTAAAGAAAAAAGAACAATATATTTAATTTGTCTAAGTACAAATATTGTTTCACGAATTTCACCGCAAATTTATTTTTCAATTGTTTTTCTAGTATTACCTACCTTGAAGTACTTATAGTGGATAAAGTTTCAAAAACAAACTATATAGTATATTAAAAGCAAATTCGCCAGATTGGACAACTTGATATGTTTTTTCAGCGATCAAATCTCGTCACACTTCATCGTGTGAGAGTTCGAGTCAATATCAATCCCATATATTTTGATTACTGATACGAAGTGATCACAAATATCGATAAGCACTTGTATTGAACCCCTAGAGACGATTCAAATTGTATCTCGTTCTGAATCGGCACTTAAATTACGCTCATGTATTGTTTTATTATACGGACAAGCGGCAGTTTGGCAGTTTTCATCATCTATCAAGGATCATGATGCTTTAAACTTTTAATTGAATGCAGGGCACGGATAACAAAAGCCCATTTTTTTGGAAAAACATACACCTGAAAATTTACACTCGAAAAAAGTTTTCCTTGAACCTCATTACGTTCGCTTTGTAAAACAGCTTTGAAATTTCAGGGTCTAAAATTTCTTTTGTGTGTCGCGGAGCTAAATTCAGTAAGGTTTCCTGTAGTAACAGGGCGCCTATCACACAGCTATTGACTAAAACCCCGGTGTTAGCACTCACACCTTCGCGGCGTAATTCCTTGTTAACAACCTACGTAATAGCGATGTTTGCTTTGACAACTACCCTCGTCTGAGAGAGCCCTTTATGTGGTTTCCAGCTTTGTACAAACTTGACGCAAATCATAATTGCCGAGTCTTAAGCTCTTCAACAAGCGTTTTCAAATGATTGACGCTTAGTAATTACCTGGATCCCCTCATCGTTTGCTAATTGATTTCCACGCTGTTCTTTTCCGGGATTGCAACTTTTTGCTATAATGAACGAGGTCGACAGTCCATTAATTAAGATTATTCTGCTGTTTTATAACAATTTGAGTTGAAAAAAAGGGATCAGTCGACCTTATATTTTGATGACGATTACATTTTGTACTCTATCCGGTGTTTGGTTTTCCTTATCTTTTTATAGAAGAATTCGAGGATAAAAAAGGAATATACCGTCAAATGTTTTAGTTTAATGACATCAGAATTAATTCAGATAAGAATACTAAAAATGAAAATTATTTAAAGAAACAACATTTACCTGATTACTATGATGTGTGAGGTGCTTGTGGTCGAGCCACCAGGACAGTTCTGGCTGCGGATAGGAACCCCGCGCCGTGCACTGCGCAAGCGCAACACTACCAGCGCGGAGGGCGTCACCCACTGTGCCACGCACCCAGTGGATCGACACATTAAACGCTGGTACTGTAAATAAAAAAAAATGTTTTTTTTTCTTGCATGGCAACTGAGTCGTCGTATGGCCCGGAGGTTAAGGCGACGGCTTTTCATGCGTGAAGGTAAGTAAGGGAAGTACCAATGTGCCTTTTCCCGAGTTAAATGTTTTTTTTTTATAATTAAGACATCACTGGTATATGGTGAAGGAAAGCATCGTGAGGAACCTGGACTTATAAATTCAAATTATAAGTTTGAAATCGCCAATCCGTGTTGAGCAAGCGTGGTGATTAATGCTCAAACCTTATCCGTGTGAGAAGATGTCTTTGCTCAGCTGTGGGCTTTTATAGGCTGATAATGATGATGATGAATTGAGTCTCCAATTCAATGTTGTTGACTATAGTCAACTACTAACTAGATACTGGCAGTATCGAGTAGTGACGGCTGATTATAGACCCGTCGAACTTTAACTTTGTGATAGTTTAGTTTATTTTAATAGTTGAATTTTCTTCTACATCACATTCTTTTACATCCTACATAACATTTAAAGTAACATTGGTTGCGTTGCATGACAGTTAAGACTATTGTAACCTTAGTTGTGCCAAATTCGAAATTTGAAAAAAAAAACTAAGGAATTTAAAATAAAATTAAAATTGATACTCAATCAACTGTTTTTTTTATTGCGTAACAGTCCCAATCATAATCATCCAAATCCTTAACATACAATACAACATACAACAGTCATAACCACCCAAATCCTTAATCCCCAAAAGACAACGGCCACGTATTCGCACTCGTCCGTTGTTGCGGGTGTCCATGGGCTGCGCTGATTGCTTACCATCACGTAATTGGCCTGCTTGCTTGCCAACCTATCACATAAAAAACTTAATGAATATGTTAGCATGCCATGTTGCCAAACAACCAACATTTATTCAAACTTCAACGAATTTCCTTGCCCTTCTCTCTCAAAATGTATGCTTATTTAAATAAAATAGGGTAATAGTACTATACGGCCGACGTATCTTGGCGAGTCTGAAGTTAGCCGTTTGTCTGCGCAATGGATCTTTTATGAACAAAATTGTGTACTGCGCAGCTAATCTGCTAACTTCAGACTCGCCAAGATACGACGGCCGTACTATACAGTAAAACATTTTGGTAATCGACTTACAATACAATTCAATCTCCAAGCTAGCTACGATAGGTGGCGCTAGGTGTGTGTTAGAGGCTCGACAAGAGAGGGCAGCTGCATTGTCTCTCGTCAAAGGAAGATAGAGCTCATTTTCTCTCACTGCTGGGATCTCGCTGTCACCATCTGAAGCATCCACGAGCGTGTCGCCGGAGTACCAGCTTATGCGAGGCGGTGGACGACCTATGGAACAAAGTTTTTGTGTTTAATTGTCTATAAAGATTTCAGATTTTAATTAAATGAGGAGTCTGATTATTTTCTATATCGTTCATAAGCGCATTTTTTCATATTTTTCATATCACTATCACTTATAATCTGTTATTTTTCGAAAATCCAGTCAACGAACTGACTGAAAACAAAGTAGTTTTCCTTGTAGCTATATCCATATAAGCATACCTACATAGTGCTTAAATCTTTAAAATTAACAGAGTTTTATGTAGTTATGTTAATAGGTAGAGTGATCGAAGAGAAAGTTTTATATGTATTTATAACATCCATTAAATAAATAATGGAGGAATCTAGTAAGTACCAGCATTGCATCCGTGTGAAGCCGGGGCGGGTCACTAGTTCATTCATCAAAGCCCAAACGAACGGAGTTCGCACACATATAGTGTCTTGAATTATCACGATTGAAAGAATAGTTGAAAGAAGAATTTAAGTGTGGGAGAGCCATGCTTCGGCACGAATGGGTCGGCTCGACCGGAGTGATACCACGGCCTCACAGAAGACCGGCGTGAAACAACCACAGCGTTGTATTTCGCCGTGTGAGTAAGGTTACCGGAGGCCCAATCCTTCCCCGCCCCTAATCACTCCTCAATCCCTAAAACTCCAAATCCCTATTCCCTAAAAGGTCGGCAACGCACTCGTAACTCCTCCGTTGCGGGTGTCCATGGGCGGCGATTGCTTACCATCAGGTAATCCGTCTGCTCGTATGCCGACATATTACATAAAAAAAAAAAATTGAAAAGAAGTACTTCTTGGGAATCTGATAAAAACACAATTAAAAAAGCTGATTGAATTCACGAAGAAACAAAACAAAAATTATCTTCCACAAGCTGATACAAACATTTAAATTCTCGGAGCCAACGTCAGAAACGAGGGTAGTTGGCAAAAATTAAGCGATAACTGTGCGCCAGTCGGAATGTAGGTTAGTTGTGAAAGTTGGGAAGTTGGAACTACCCTCCGAAATGTTGTGATGGACCCGACCTTTAGTTAAACTTATTTATCTTAGCAAACAGGAATGTTAATAATGAACATAATATGTTTGATATGTTGACATATAACATATGTAGAGTGTCAATAAAAATTGTTCTGTGGTTTGCATTGAAGTAGTTTTTTAATATTCGCAATTTCCTTGTCAATAATTATCTTTTAGTTTGACGGTTGACGCGGTGGCTGGGTAACAATCTGTCGCGCAATGTGTGGTCGATTGCCGCACGGAAAAACTCTTTGCGTGATCTACAAGTTGTTGTTCCGTGGCTGGGTGTGATTGTTTTCAAATTGTATGTTTGTAAACGCACCCACGACACAGGACATAATCCTAGTGTGGGGCAACGTTTTAAAAAGAAATAGAAACAGAATAAAATTTATAGGAAAACCGTACAAGTGACCCTTTGTTAGTGTCAGGTGTTAAAACTAAAGGTCTTTAATTGCATACTGGTTTACGTAAGTTGCATTAAGTTGTAGGTATTTCGTTCGTTAGACTTATTTAGGACATATTAATTCTAACGATTAGACGTTTAAAACAAAAAACGTCTCATTCCATCGAATCCGGTTTAAATCATATTTTTTTTTGCAAATTCGTTCTTGAACAGCACTTTCAAACGTCAAAATTATAAAAAAAAACTAAGTAGATAAAGTTAGAATTTCTTAAGTGTTTACTCTGAGAAGTACCTAATGCTGACACAAACTCAGAGTAGTGTAGTTTCCAACTTCAAATTCAATATTTTTATTATAAGACTTATCAAAAACTGACTTTTCTATGAATGACAGATATCGTCATAATGTAAAGTCAAAGTCAAAGTCAAAATCATTTATTCCAACTAAACCATAAATAGGTACTTTTGAAACGTCAAAATGGAGAAGTAGCCTGTCAGTCTGTTCGTCAGTGAAGCTAGGTGCTCATTCCAAATTGTAGATTTGAATAGATCGAATAGATTCGATAGAATTGTATTAACGTCAAATACTGAATTAAAATATTTGCAGAATAAATCTAAAATTAAGTAGGTGTATCGTCAAATCAACGAATTTAAGTTATTTAGGTATGACATACCGTCCGCCGGTTCGCGTCCGCAAAAATCTCAGAGTTCGAAAAATGTAATATCAAAGTAAACTACGTTTCAATTCGAAAACTGACTTCGGAACCCGTAATGGTAGTTTTAAAAGAAATACTTTTGAACAAGCTGGTTCGAGTAAAACTAAAGTGAAATAGTTGTATTTAATTGATCTTTCCTTTTCTGGAATGTCCGTTTTTTGAGGAAACCGTCGTAAGCGGACATTACTTAGATCGAAGGCAGGAAGGTACTTCGTTTAAGATTGCTGATAAATTAAGAATTGGTTAGATACCTAAAATATTTGTAAAATACACGTTACATAAAAACCTTTTCCTTTTAAAATAAATTAGAGAAAAAAAACGTGATAGTTCGCAGTTTCTGAGGATTAAAGTACACCGATATTTTAACAGATTTTTGTAGAACGTAATCGTTTCTAAATTCAAATACCGCGAGGAACGTTTTTATTTTGGCAAATTAATAATAATAAATATTTGTCGATAGTCTAAGAGCAAAGAGTTTCTATAATTAAGGCTCATTTAAACGATGTTATTTCTTTATAGTAATTGAACAAGAACTATAATTATGAAGAAAATAATGAGTTAAAGTACGTCCGCACAATACCACACATGTTGTTAAACAACACTATAGGATAGCCATGCTAAGTGGAGAGCCTAGCTTCGGCACGAATGGGTCAGCTGGACCGGAGTGATAAAACCTTCATACCACAGCATTGTCCCGAGCGTACGGCACGTTGTCTTCCACGAGGACCTCAAAGAGCGAATAGACCACCATAGACGGGGCCCTATGGGGTTGATGTTCAACCGGGATTTCGGGGTAAGCGCAATGAGGCACCGCGGCCTCGGCCCAGAAGAACAAAAGGAACGGGGGTGTTTTAGTCAGTAAGAATCAGACACTCCCTCCCGAGGGCGGGAGAAGTCATTTGATGATTTTCAGGTTACCGAAGGCCCAATCCATCCCCTCACCTAATCAATCCCCAATCCCCAAAAGGTCGGCAACACACTCGTAACTCCTATGTTGTTGCGGGTGTCTATGGGTGGCGCCGATTGCTTACCATCAGGTAATCCATCCAAAAAAACCATGTTTAGACCAAACGAGTCAAATAAATTGCATGCAAAATGCAAGAATCTTGCGTTGTATATATAAATCAAGCTTAAGTTTATTAGTCTTTGTATTATTTGTATTAAGTAATTAAATAAGATATCGGGTTTATGATGAGTTTTTTTACAGAGGTTTTATTCCCAGTCTTATTAAATAGCGAGAAAGCTATTTAAATAAGAAAATCATAAGGATTGCAAAGTTACAATGTTTGTTTTTAGATTGCTTTGTAACATTCATACCTAAGTAATTAGAAAAATATATTCTAAGTTAGACTTTTACAGAGATACTAGCTTTTGCCCGCGACTCGTAGAATAGTGACTTCCTGAAGATTTTTGGTATAAAAACTATCCTATGTCCTTTCTCGAGTTGCAAACCATGTATGTACCTTTACAGAAATCGGTTCAGTAGTTTAGGCGCGAAGAAAAGTCAGACAGACAGACAGAGTTACTTTTGAATTTATAATATTAGTATAGAAAAGATAGTATAGATTCACTTATCGTCCTTTGCCTAGTTACCGTGAACTTTTTTTATTTTTAACTGATTTGACATGAATTCTTTTGTTCGGCGGAATAACTTTTGCGATGGCAATATTCCAGAATTCTTAAGCATAAGATTGTATATGACATCTAAATCCAAACTTAATATTATTAATGCGAAAGTAACTCTGTTTGTTTGTTTGTCTGCCTAATCTTTACACCTAAACTACTCAACCGATTTTTGTGAAATTTGGTACAGACATTGTTTGCAACTCGAGAAAGGACATTGGATAGTTTTTATACCAAAAATCACTTTTCCACGCGGACGGTGTCGCTGGCAAAAGCTACTTAATAATAATTCCTAAAAAGCAAATCTTTGCTAAGATCACTTATCAAATCTTCCATATTTCATTACAATTATTATATATTTATACAATAAACATAATTCTGCTGATTGCATCAGCTAATTACTTAATTAGTTTACACACAAGCTCATGAATTCTTGATATTACTTTGTAAGTTGATATAAGTTAGCTCACGTTGTTTGTACATTAATATTAATTTATAAAACTAATGATATTAAGCTCTTGAAGTTTATTAGTCTGGCGTATTGGCATGTCTTTGATTTGGTATATTAAAGAAAATTAATTTATTTAGAAGTCTAGAAGAAGTTATATTTTTTTCAAAATGCACGTCGTGTCTCGTGTTTGGTCTTAAACCGACTTTGTTAATTGAAGTGTGGAAATACATATATATTGTTAGAATATTAGACATCCAAACTAGGTATAATATAATATTATACATGCGACAGTAACTTTGCCTCTCTGTCTGTTTGCCTTCTCTTCACGCCTAAACTACTGAGCCGATTTCTGTGAAATTTAGCACAAACATAGTTTTGAACTCGAGAAAGGACATAGGATAGTTTTTAAACCAAAAATCTGCAGGAAGTCACTATAGATATTAAGGTTATATTTCAGCGTTATTTTATAAAAGAGCTAGTTAAGCTTCCCTTTACATTCAGTGTCCCATCTTTGATTTCCAAGCTGAATAGAAGAGTCAAAATTAAAGCACTTAAAATTAACATTTAAAATACATGGCGATATCAAACATTACTAAATAGGGACATACCAACTTGAAAATTATAATATTAATAATATATCCTCTTTATATTATTAATAATGTAGATATAAATTTATGATGATCTTGATGATTATTAGCTTACCTCCAATGACCAGACAGCGCAGAACTAAGGTGTCTCCATCGTGGTAAGGACCCACTCTTCCGACCACCTTGTTGCTCATCTCATCCATGAAGAAAGGAGGACTTGGGAGGACTGGAACAAAAAACTTTATTTAATACTATTTACTTTCACGCGGTTTCACCAGCTGCTCAGCTCCTTTAGATCAAAGCGTGATGTTTTACAGCCTATATAGCCTTCCTCGATAAATGAACTAACAAACACAAAAAGAATTGTTCAATTCGAATCAGTAGTAGTCAGTTGTTTCGGAGATTAGCGCGTTCAAACAAACTCTTCAGCATCATTTTAATTTATCACTTGTTTTTAGCCTAACGATAAGAATAGTGCACGGTTTATCGCACCCTCATTAGCTGGGACTAATGATATAATTATTGAAAAGTATTTCATTAAGTTTAGTAATTTCTTCCACCTATATTCCTATACTTTTGTTACTTTTATTAATCACCCGCGAAGTTGCGATCCGCCCCAGCTTCGCACGAGTGCAAAGCTGATGCTAAATTTCTACAATATTTATTGAATGTTAATACGTATAAATCTTCCTCTTCAATCACTCTATCTGTTGAAAAACCGCCATCAAAATCCGTTGCGTAGTTTTAAAGATTTAAGCATGCATACATAGGGACATGGGACAGAGCAAGTGACTTTGTTATGTAGTGATTTGCTGCGAAAAAGCGCTGTTTTCTAACATAAGCAAAATCTTTTTTTTTTTCGTTTTAATTGTTAATGTCCTCTGACATTAAAACCTCGTTGAGTTAGGTTAGGCATTAATTAAGTTCCGCTGAAGGTTTACAAAATGTACATAATGCTATAGTTTTAATCACAGTGGGTTCTTAGTTTTTTCAGAAAACCTGTTCATTTTTTTTTCGATTAAATGTTTGGGGCCTTTGCTTAAGGGTTTTAGCTGGTTGGAGTGACGAAATCTACACGTTGGCTAGCACTGTCTAGATAAAAAACAACTATCAATTAATAACAATGAATAAACTCATAATTTGTTTTCATTTATAATCCGATACATGAAATGTGATATTAATACAAACTAATTCCAAAGTAATGTTATAAATGCGAAAGTAACTCTGTCTGTCTGTCTTTTCTTCACGAAACTAAACTACTGAACCGATTTCTGTGAAATTTGGTACTAAATTAGTTTGGAACTCGAGAAAGGACATAGCATAGTTTTTAAACCTAAAATCTGCAGAAAGTCACTAGTCCACGCGACCAAGTCTCGGGAAAAAGTTAGTTTTTAATATATAAAATACTGAAACAAGTTGTACCTAACTATTTGTCGTAGTGACAATTCGAACGTCATTCTATTTAATAATTATACCAAAAATATAATTGTCAAGATTATTTATTTACAGTAGAATTTGGGTGATATTAATTATAGGTACATATACATATGTAAAGGTAGTCATTATTCTAGACGTACAGTCACCAAGTTATTTCATAATTATGTAGGTAAGAACATTCAGTACAAAGCTAGTTGGAGTTATTCTTAATCTTAACCGTCTTTGAACATACAGTTAGGTAGATATATATCGGACGTATATCATTATTAAATGCAAGCGACCCGCCACGGTTTTGCACGGGTGCAACACTGATACTTAATTTCTCCTCTATTTAATGGCCATTTTTATATGCAAGTAGAAACGTTCCTCTTCAATCACTCTATCTGGTAAAAATCGGCATCAAAATCCTTTTCCTGCACTGGGTCGAGGGCGCGGGTGCCTAATTGCACTTACCCCACAACCCCGATTGAACATCAGCCCTATTAGGGCCCCGTCTGTGGTGGTCTATTGGCCTTTTGAGGAGCGCGCGGAACGCAACACGCCTTAGGTACAGATCTGGTTCTGGTCGAGCGGCGAGCTACCCATAATTACCGTCCGCAGATCCGCGCTTATGTGGTCCGGAGATCATCTCTCGAACCCCGAGGTCTGGAGTGAGGATAGTTCCCTCAAGCGCTCCGCTTCCTGCTTTGCAGGAAGAAGAGACGGCTTCCCAGATCCTCTCGCTCTACACCACGGAATCGACGAAGGCCGGGCGCGAGAGGTCGCCGCCGCCTACCACTTCCCTGACGACACGGTGGTGCACAGCCTAAGCAGGGCACAATCTGGGTGGTCGTCACAAAAACGACTTTCGGGCGTTTCCTCCCGCCGGATCCGAAACAGGAACGTACCTAAGCTGCGGTGCCCAGTAAGAACCTGTGTAAGGCGGAAGGTGAGGAAGCCGTGGCATCTCTCAAGCCATTCCTCAAAGAGGGATCTTACCGCTACTATAATAACGTGCCCGTCTGTCTACTTTTAACCCTTACAGTAGTACACTTTTCAAGTAGAGTTGTTATTTCAACCTTGCCTTATAATAACTATGAGTTCAAGTGAAATGTACCGACAATAACATTACTCTGAAGACTGTAATTGACGTTTATTACGCAGTAGTCAAATATAAGGTTAAACAGCTGCCGGTATATTTCGGCGTTGAGCCGCTGATCCATTGACGCAAGTGTATTGTATTGTGCGAATCGCTTAGAAACGCGGTTTTGAGTTTAAGAAGCTACCATCTTATTTTACTTCTTACTAATATTATAAATGCGAAAGTTACGATGTTTGGATTTTTGATTTGGATGAAATTTGGCACAGGCATAGCATACACTCCTGAATAGGACATTGACTATTTTTTATGAACATACCACGCGAAGCTAGAGACGGTAGCTGTTGCAAAATAAGTTTAATATTGCAAATTTAAGATGGTTGTTTCCAAGTGTTATTATTTATTGGTTTAGTTGTTGTTATTACAGCATTACCGCAAAAGCATACATAGATAGATAGGTAGGTATAGTATTTGTTTCGAAGTAACTTAGATGATAAATTATTAGGTGCGTTTACAATTTACAGATATTTGTTTGATTTAAAATGTAGAGTGTACTAAGTGGATTTGCTTCTTTAGATTTGCCTAAACCGGCAGCGGCATTTGTATATATTTGTAGGTACTTTTGTTACAATAAATAAGCGGCATAGAACGGCAAACGAGGATACGAATTACCCGATGGTAAGCAATCAGCGCCACCTAAGGACATTGCAACAATGAAGAAGTTACGAGTGCGTTACAGACCTTTTGGGGATTAGGGATTGGAAAGGGATTGGGGGTGGGGAAGGATTGGGCCTCCGGTAACCTCACTCACACGGCAAAACACAATGCTGTGTTGTTTGTTTGTTTCATGCCAGTTTTCTGTAAGACCGTGGTATCACTTCAGTCGATTTATATATTTTTAAGTTAGTTGAAAAATAAGTCGCTAAAAGAATTTAAATTATTTTTCAAAACAACCAAATGTAAAATATAAATAAAATAAAACTTTTTCTAGTACAAAATGGACCGTTAAATTAAATAACCAATAGTAAAAATTTGACGCACATTTCGCGTTTGGGCCCGCGGCAATGATCTTGCATCCTTATCTCTACACTTTACGATGCCCATGGGACATAACAAGATGGCACGCTTCCGTATATTCGGGGAACAAAGTATTTTCGTTCTTATACTCTAGAGAATTAAGACGTAATGTGCTTCTGCAACTCATTTTTTACATGTCAACTTTGAATTCATGGACCACATATCAAACGTTTATGATCGCTTTGAGATGGACGCTTTGGACATATTGTATGTCTTTCTAAACAGGCTGTCAGGGACATTTTTCATTATAAGTACTTTATTTTATTTTCCTATGGAATGGCGGCAAAGGGTAGTAATCAATTGCTATCGATGACATTGGAAACTCGAAATACTAGGAGAGCCATTAATCACAGAATACCGGCGTGAAATAACCCACAGCGTTGTGTTTCGCCATGTGAGTGAGGTTACCGGAGGCCCAATCCCTCCCCTTCCCCTATCCCTTCCCAATCCTTATATCCGCAACCCCTATCCCCAAAAGGCCGGCAACGCACTCGTAACTCCTTTGGTGTTATATAGGCTGATGATGTGTGAAGGGTTTGGGGGAAAGGCAGAGATTGGGCTATCGGTAACCTCACTTACACGGCGAAACACAACGCTTTGGAAGTTTCACGCTGGTTTTCTGTGAGGCCGTGGTATCACTCCGGTCGAGCCGACCCATTCGTGGGGAAGCATGGCTATCCCACAGTTAAATAAACTCTGATATAATGTACGTAAATAAATACAGGCACGTTTACCATATAGGACAGTATTGTATAAAACGTTGTGTTAGCTACTTTGAGTGTATCATTATTCAGAATTAAATTTTAAGAGCGCTCGCTACGTTCACACATACTTCTAGATTACGATTTCGCACTCAAGAAGCGAAATATTTTAGTCTTTAATTAACATTTTCATATCTTTGTGTCTTTGTCGTAAAATATCAAATTGTTTTTCATAAACATATTCTCTTTTTTGAGTGTTTTTATTGTTCATAGGCATAGATATAGGGTTCTTATTTCATGAGCACCAGGATTTAAAATACTAGCTTTTCTTTTGTGGGGGGACATTATCAAATTGCTTCTCTCACCCTGGGTTCTAGAAAGAGGGTCAGACTCTTACTGTCTTAAAACCACCTCGTTGCTTCTCTGTCTGCTCCGGACCGGGGTACGATATTGTACTTGCATCTGCAACCCTATGTTTGCTAATCGCCTTTTTTTGTTTTTGTTTTTTTTTGTGAAGGCAAAATCATCAAATGACTTCTCCCGTCCAGATTGGGACAGACGGGATTGTCAGACTCTCGTTCCTTCTCATGCTTTGGAATGCGCGTCATGCAACTCCGGTTGATCATCACCCCTTTAGGGCCCCGCCTGTGGTGGTCCAGTGGCGCGTGCGCAACGCGCTGTATGCCCGTGAAGTTTGGTATTCGCTGGGAATACAATTTTGAACAAACGCAAATTTTCGAGACTGCTCGATTGGTTTCGATCCACGACTGGGACCTATAATTATAAGAGAATTGCGTGGTGACCGTATAACGCAGCAGTAGACTGAATCTATTATTTGAAAGGCCTGATTCACCTCTTTCATGTAAATAAGCCGGTATTAGTAGTAGTACATAGTTCATACCAATTAAGTTTTACATTGAAATTTGTCTAGTAC